GGTGCGCATCCGGGGCGGTTTCTCTCCAGCATAGTACCTCAACCACGTGCCTTCATTAGATGTCTATATACTCAACAACACCTCGCTTTTGATGAATTTAGGAAAGCCAATGACGTGGGTTGGGTATTGATAAACTACTGTTTCCGTAATCGGGTGTCAAATCAATGTGTTTATGATTAAATGCGTTTGTGAGTGTGAAACACTACTAGTGAATAAAAGGCCTGAAACAATCGGTGAGTATAAGGCCGAGAGCACTCTATCTTCGGATCAATGCGAATGTGGCAACGGCGGTCTCCTGAATTTACAGAATTCGATAGGCAGCCATGACTCAAAATGTTCATAAATGGACCGCCTACCGCTTTGTTGCCGCGCGTCCGAATATGCTTAGTGTCAACGCCGTTCGCATATCCGAAGAAGAGCGGGGGTAAATGTATACCCGCTGGTGCTGGCAATTGGTCTGCTTCGATGCTTATTAATTAGGTTATCCTCTTTTTTACACTAGGTCACAGATCAAAAGACGGCACTCAGCATGAAAGCCCCAATGACAATTGCTATTATATCCGTTAGGCACTTCTGATGCTCAAAACTCCACCATCACCTCCTAAACTACCTCCCATATCCTTCCCTTCTGGTAAGATAAAGAATCCCATCACTTCTTCTCCTCGGCAACGGCGGCGCATCCACCGAGGCAAGCAGAGTAGGCCAGTGGGTCGCTGTTGAGCGGCTTGCAGGCATCAGCGCACTCGGTCGACTCCTTTTCGAAAACGACAGTTCCGTCGTCCAAGAAGCGAGGGCTGCTCTTGATGTCCTCGTCGTCAGAGGCCACGGCCAATCCAGAGCAGCCAGCGCTGCAGGCAGCGTACGCAATTGGGTTGATGAGCAGCGGTGTGCATGCCGCCAGGCACAGAGGCTTTTGGGTTTGCCATGTAATTAGTAAACAAGCACCAGGATGTGTTAACTTAAAATGATTCATGGGGTGCTTACCAGTCCAATACCGGCCTGGAATATGTGTCAGTAAGAAGCGCTAAAGGAGAGCAGGCGGCACCATTTTGTGCTGTTACTTACGGTTGCGTTGGCACGGAGAACTCCGGCAGCGAAGACGATGGCAGCTGTGAACTTCATTGTTGCGTTGTGAAGGCTCTGAGAGGAATCTCGGTTGTAGACAGAGTCAATGGTAACTAATGGATGCTGTGTTGAGATGAAGTTGTTGACTCTGATGTAGTCTTCCACACTGGCCATTATTTTTTCATCTTATATAGACTTATGAATACGTATAGACTGCCATTGAGATGTTTCTTTGTCTCGGATCTACTTGCAAGAGTTCAGCTGATTTCAATAGCTCAGGCGGTTCTCAACCATTCAGCTGGTGTCCAGACGATGATAGTAGACCGATTTCTTCTTGTGAGGCCAAATATGTCGTCAGGAGTTGATGAACATCCTGGTGATAACGAGCAATCACCAATCTCCACAGCAATGGGTGGCGCCGCCAGGTGGCGCAAGCCACAGAAATCTTAATGAGCTTAGATACTGCCACGGTCCGTACCGGCATTTAGGAAAGGGTGGAGATCATTTGTCCCGAGATTCCGTGGTAAAAGAAACTAAGCAGCGATGTGGTAGTTCAGCTCGGTCGTGTGATGGATTCGCGAAATCAATTGGCCTGTATATTCATGTAGTCTTGAGACATTTAATCTTGTGAATATTTAGATTTTACTGAACGCGGCAGTCTCTGCTCATTACACTAGTAGGTGTATTTCATGGTGAGTGGCAGGCTCTTTTGTGTATAACCAGGTGCAGCCTATGAACCAAAACACGGGAACAACGTTCCACGAATAGCGTAATTAAGAATTGAGAGTTACCACTTCACTAAAATTCAGCTCACCTAAGTCCAGCTAGTCTTAGGGTTGTTGCTGATCAATGAAATGTTACGTTCTGTTTCATGATCACTGAGGTTATGTCTGATCACAACCAGCGGTGGCTGGCTGTGAAGTGAAGAAGAAGAAAACACCTAGATTAAGGAATCTTGTTAACCGCGTATTCACCAGAGCTCGTCAAATTGACCATTCAACTCATTTGTGAACACGGCTTTGGTTCACTAATGAATCTGAGGATCGTCTGTAAATCGGTCCGAAAAGTCTGGTAGATTTCGAGAATAGTTTGAAGTGGCGGATAGCAAAAACCAATAGTCCCTCCAGCTTCCGGCCACAGTTGCTCCTACTAAGCCTAATTATATGCGGACCCCGTCTTTGTTTTAACATAGCATCAGCCAAAGACTGAATTTTTGTTTCAGCAGTAGTTGATGACTGGTTATAATTGATTGTAGATTGACTCAAAGCTGTGTTGAGTATCATTATAACAAAACTTACTCTGTCACATGACTAGATCAATGGATATTCAGCCAGCCACATTATAGATCAAAAAATGTGGCAACCGGCGATAATCTTCTCGTAGATCATGATCTATGCCGGGTGTCAGCTATGTCACCTATAGTGGACATTAGAAAACGTCGCATTGAGATACAAAGGTATTCTGTAATCCATCGAGGAAGTCTACTCGTTATCTCCATAGTTGCACACAGTTCCCAATCGTTCTTGTTCATGATGTTTGCCAGAAAGCCTTTGGTATTTCTGCTGTGTGCAATCAGCAAGTATACAGCGGCTCATCTATTGCGACAGGAAAGTGCAACAAATCTGAGTCAGTGGAGTCGTGGTCCTGAAGCTGATTCCCATCAAGTTGTCCAGCTGTCGATTGCCTTGACTCTTCAAGATTCTGATCTTGGGGTCGAAACTTTGCTTCGCATCTCTGACCCAAACTTCCCAGAATATGGCCAACATTTGTCGGCTAAAGAAGTTGCTCGCATTTTTCAGCCCAAGCCAAATGCCGCTGCCGACGTGTTGGACTGGCTCAAAGAGTCCGGTGTCGATCTAAACCATGTCAATTTGTCCCACGGTGGCGATCGCTTGTCTCTAAGTTTGTCTGTTCGAGAGGCCACCTGGCTCCTGCAGACCACATTTTATCACCACACACATTACAAGACTGGACAGGGACAGATTGGCTGCGAATATTATCATGTTCCACAATCACTTTCTGGCTCTATTGACTACATCCTGACTTCTTCCCCTATTCAGAGTCATCAGCAGATTCCTCGACAACAGATTGTCTTGAATGATCAGTCCTTTGCAGTAGGACCCACCGCACCCGATTGTCACAGTCAAACAAACCCAGAGTGCCTTCGAGATCTTTACAAGATCCCAATAGATGTGATACCGCATCCCAACAATTCGTTTGGAATTTTCGAACCATCTTGGATCTCTTGGATCTCCGACGACTTGGACAAGTTTTTCCAAAAATATCAGAAGAACCTAGTCGGGTCGCGTCCCAAGTTTGATGCAATAAATGGAGGATATTGGAACGAAACCAGCCCTTCATTTCCATTGCATCAAGAACCCAACCTGGATTTTGAGTATGCAATGGCGCTCACATCACCTCATGAAGTCACCAATGTACAAGTCGGTTCCAACGTCGAACAAGGAAACCTAGAGGATATGCTTGTAGCGTTTGATCAATACTATTGCGATCCGATCAACCCCGAGCACAAAAGGTTTCACGGCGGCAAGAATTTGTATCCGCCAGGGTGCAACGCCACGACCTGCGACTGCGGTTCATCATCGCCACCCAAAGTCTTGTCCATATCGTGGGGCTGGACGGAAGCTCATTTTAGTCCAAACTTTTTGCATCGTCAATGCCTCGAGTTTCTCAAGCTCGGCCTAATGGGCACAACCGTAGTCGTCAGCATATCGGATGACGGTACTGCAAGTCAGTCGGGCGAGTTTTGCATCGACGATCCATCAGGGAATGCCACTGCCGGGAGATTCAGTCCAGTCTTTCCAGGGTCTTGTCCTTGGGTCACGAGTGTGGGAGGCACGCGATTGCTGCTGCCAGGGGAGCCTCGACCACCGGCATCTTCCACAAAGGAGACAGTTTGGAGAGAACCTGTGCATTCCTCTGGAGGCGGCTTCAGCAATGTATTCCCGGTCCCTCCATATCAAGCGCCAAACATTGCGTCCTACAAGAACATTGAAGGAGATCACTTGAATGAGATCCATGACCGTTTTAATAGCACAGGCAGAGGCTTCCCCGATGTAGCCGCCGTAGCACACAGGTATGCGGTTGTTAGTCAAGGAAACGACACGTTGATATCTGGCACTTCGGCATCGAATCCAGTGTTTGCCTCAATCATCACACTGATTAACAGCGAGCGCATGCATGCTGGCAAAGGTTCAGTTGGGTTCATCAATCCAGTCTTGTATAGCAACCCGGGCGTACTCAATGACGTTATGACAGGCTCGAACAAGGGTTGCGGTATTGGTCAGGCATTTCGGGCCACCCGTGGATGGGATGCGGTGACGGGTCTAGGAACTCCAGACTATAAGCGATTGCGACACCTTTTCATGAGTCTGCCATGATCGCAGTAGGGGCGTGGATGGGCAAAGTTATTTGTGATCGGTGAGAGAATGGAGGTTATCTCTGTACTGTAAACTTTTTTATGATTTCCTGTTTAATCAACTTTCTTGTAACTTCGAAACATATTGGCACCTTTTGCATTTACCTGTTGTTGAAGTGGAACTGCACGGCATTGGAAACGCATCAGGTGCGTCCACTAAAAACTTGGCTTTTTTGCGGCCTCTTCGGCTGCCCACCTGCGCTGGGGATAGCCTGTCGCTAGCAGCCAGTAAACCACCTGTGCACCCAATCCCAAGTGCATTAAGTCTCTTGTACGATGCAGCCACCCCACTCATCTCTCGCAAGTGACCTGAAGCCGGCATGGTTGAGCGCGATTATTTCAGCGTCTCTCTGCTGAAGGAAACGAGCCGGAATCAACAATTCATGGCCTGGAATGACCCTTAGTACTGCCGCCAGCGAATCGCAATGGACAAGTCCCAACTTTATCAAAGCCTCGATCTTTTGAAAAAGGAGATACGGCTCCTTGAAGTTCTCCCAGGCCCAAGTGACACGGCACTCCACGGCCGCCTCTTGCACACGTCTCTACAAGACCCTGTACCATATGAGACCATCTCGTACTGCTGGGGCGACGCCAGCGTTCGCGGAACACTCATGATTGATGAATTCGAGTTCGATGCACCTCTTAGTTCCTTGACCGTTCTCAAGTGCATGAGGAGACCCGATGCACCTCGGCGACTCTGGGTTGACGCAATATGCATCAACCAGGACGACATTGACGAAAGGGGATCTCAGGTGGCTCTCATGTCGCAAATCTATCGCCAGGCGCGCACAAATCTCGTCTACCTCGGCGAAGAAGATGAAATGACGAGACGCGGGCTCAAGTGCATTCGCGAGCTTCTTCAAGAAATCAGCGACAAGACGATTGGATTCTCCAGGTTCCACAGACTGATGCGAAGCTTTCAATCTGATCTTCGACGCGATTCCAACTTGACCATGAATTGTACTCTCGATGAAGCTGGTGTTTTGTCACTGTTTGACCGACCGTGGTTTGAGTAAGTCTGCAAGGCCAGAGTCTGATTCCTTATCAAAATTCGGAGCGATGCTTATTTCTTGTTTTTTTTTTCTGTGTTCAGACGATTATGGGTTGTTCAAGAAGCGGTTTTGGCGCCGACTAGCATTTGCTTTTACGGCCCCAGTCTCACCGTGGGCCTGGTTGAGTTATTGCGGGCCGCCCGTTGGATCACCTATAACCGGGCTTCCATCTCCCGCGAGATGCACGACAATGAAAACCTTAACAATGCCGTGGACCTGTGGTCGCTTGTCGACAACAAGAGCACGGCAGGGTCAGGTACAAGTATCGAGCCGCCCAACGATCCCGATCTCAGTGCCCTCCTGCTGCTTGCACGCCACAGGCTATCCACCGAGGCCAAGGACAAGGTCTTTGGCGTCCTCGGACTCTTGTCGCAACAAACTGACGCATCAGAAGATGGGCCAGATACTTCTCTACTAGAGACCGATTACAAAAAATCTCAAGGACGAGTCTTTTGTGATGCCATTCGTTACGCCATTCAGGAATTGAACAGTCTTCGGATACTCGAGTATGTCAATCACGCCATTGAGCCCAATGTCTCGAGCCTTGGAGACTTTGCATCCTGGGTTCCACGGTTTGACCTGCCGATCAATGAAGAAGTCGAAGCAGAAGTACTCCCGCCCATATTTGCCGCTGACAATGATGATGGCGTGAATCGGGAAGACATGGAGATAGACCTTGCTCGGCCAACCATGTTGAGCCTCATGGGCTATTGGATCAGTACAATCGCGGAAACAAGCGATGTATTTTCGTCCGAGATCATGAAAGACACTTCCAAGTTGGTAGCACTACTTCAAAAGCTACCCGTCATGGTCAGGGGTGCCCATGCAGCCGATTTGCGAATGTGGGGAGGAGATAACACGGGCATCGAAAATGGCTTTTCCCTGATGCTGGCGGCGACGCTGATGGGCGGTAATTGGAATAACCAGCCAGTCGAAGACGACGACGTTGAAGCATTTCGCACTTTCCTCGAAGCTCTCATGGCGGGCTCCTGGACCTACGATCCGAACGATCCGCAATGGCAATGTTTGGAGAGCGCATGCCGAAATCGCCGCTTCTTTGTCGGAAAAGATCTAGGCTTCATTGGCTTGGGTCCAAGCTGCATGCGGCCAGGAGATGTTGTGTCTATCCTCTATGGAGGATCTGTACCTTTCATATTGAGAAATATTACAGAAGACATGGACGCCATACCGGATTATCTCATGCTTGGCGCTGCCTATGTCTATGGGGTCATGGATGGGGGCTATGTGAGATCAGCAGAAGAGCTAGAGGCAGAGATCATTTCTTTTAATACTGTCTAAAAGCTCAATCATAAATGTGAAGAGAAACTTTTCTCTCCCAACGATTGGCATAGCAGCATAGATATACCCTTTGAAAGAGTACTTTGCGACACAGTCAAAACTCAAAGTCAGTTACAAGAAAGTTTATTCAACCGGTCAGCTATCTGATTAGCCAAGGCAGATCATGCGCAGTCCATACGAAATCGACGCATCAGGTGTCAGCATTTAGCTTTGGGAATATTGGGGAATCTATGTAGGTATGCGAATGCCCATGCTTCAGTACCCCCACTGGGACTGCCACCGAATCTCTGATGTAAGCAAAGCGGCCGCAACATGCGTTCATCAACTCACGACCACGGAGGGCGCATCGCTGATTCAAATTAGCCTTTCATCATTTCAAATTTCAAAAACAAATTCAATTATATAGTTTTCGACATGGTGAAATTGGACTTTGATCTCGAGCGGGATGTGCCTGAGCTCACAGGCAAGGTCGTCCTGATAACTGGTGGTAAGGATACTTCCTATCTACGCGCTGACGGCAACGAGTTCACCATGATTGGTTTCCAGGCACAAATGGGCTGGGTGCTGCTACAACGCAGATGCTAGCAAGCCGAAACCCGGCCAAGATCTACATCACCGGCCGCAATGAGTCGGCTGCACAGCATGTCATTGCTGCTATTCAGTCAACCGGGTCAAAGACCGAGGTCATCTGGCTTCGGTGCGATCATTCCGACCTGACAACCGTCAAGAAAGCTGCGCAGGAGATTTCGAGAGAATCCCGACTTGATATACTCATGGCCAATGCTGGTGTTATGGCACTTCCTCCTGGTATATAGCACTATTTCTGGTCCTTGCCGCTTAATCCTGTAACGTCTTGTTAGTCATTAACTCCTAGACTTGTCAAGGTTTGACCAAGGACGGATACGAGCTGCATTTTGGTATCAACCACCTTGCCCACGCCCTCCTCATCCGCATCCTACTCCCGCTCCTGCAAAAGACCGCCAAGGAACACGGAGAAGCGCGCATTCTTCCCATTTCCAGCCTGGCGCTTGTCCTTGCCCCCCGAAGCCACGGTATCGTGTTCCAGGACCTCAAGACGACACAGGCGTACTGGATCCTGGGTAAATGGCAACGCTACGCTCAGAGCAAGCTGGCCAACCTTCTCTATGGCCGTGAACTCGCTCGTCGTTACCCCGAAATCCTGACATTGATCGTTGATCCGGGACCTAGCAATACTAGACTTGTTTCAAGTCTTGGATTCCTAGATAAAGCGATCGTGTATCTGGGCAACATTAATCGCTTCCTCGATGATGACCGGGGCCATTGGAATCAGGTTTGGACTGTCGGCGTACCAAAGGCTAGGGCGCAGCAGGGAGAGCTATATGAACCGGTGGGTAAACTCACAGACGGGTACACTCATTGGTGCCTGGACGAGCAGCTCACAGCACGGCTATGGGACTGGACTGAAGAGGAGCTTCGGCCCTGGTTGGTGTAGTGTGGTCTAGATTGTTGCACGGCGAAAAATGCAGTTCAAGGTAGGGAAGGCTTAAACGTCAGGGCGTATCCTTCAAACCATCTATAAAAAAGCTACATCGCGTATCTGAAGGAGGAAATCCTTGTCGTGGAGAAAGGTTTGCTTTTTTCGGTCTAGACACGGACATTATTACAATGCCTAGCATTCAAGCAGGGCAAAGCACCAAGGCCCAGCTCTTACCTTATTCCCTGCACTCTTTTTTATATCCGTGCAATATAATTCATTGTAGACCAATCGTATTACGATATTTCGTTGGCATATGAGACAGCAATGTATGGATATCTTGGCAGAATGCCGATCGTGAAAGCTCGGATTTAAGCTTTCTAAGACCGTGATGGTGACTGCGTCTTTGTAGTCAACAAACAATCGCACGCTCATGTAAGCCTGTCTATTCTTTTCGCGAATCTTCGCCCTCCTGTATCGGAACGCTCTCGTTTTACCTTTATTCTTCTGCTCTCGTCAAGGAACTCTAGATTGGGCGAAACGTAGTTGGGGATCACGATACCCGCCATCCTAATGCTTCTGTTTCAAGATGGCCACATTTTTCCGAGATACCGCATTTGGCCAGGTTGTTCGTCTCTTATCTCATAGACGGCTTCTTCGCTACCCTGACGAGATTGACCCTCTTCTTTGGAAGAAATCATTGCAACAGCATGGGGCAGCAGGGTGTAGCATTTCCGACCCAGGTGTGGAGAGCAATTCTGCCCAAATTCTGTCAGACAATGAAGAAAAGTCGCCTATTCGTGACCCGAGACGACAGATGGGCCTAATAGAAAATGGAGCGGGTCCTGCTCAAGCTGTCGAAGACGGACGAGATGTCTACCTAGTCGGTTGGTACGGACCAGACGACCCAGAGGTAGGTCTTTGTTGAATAGATGCATGTAATTTTGCCTGCTAATCACGGCAATAGGACCCCCTAAACTGGCCTGAAAGCTGGAAATTCATCATTGCTTTCCAGGTGTGCATTCTTAACTTCGTGGTATATATTGCGAGCTCTCTCTACGTGCCCGGTGAGACCAGCTTTATGGAGGAATTCGACGTCTCGGAGACTGTGGCAACATTGGGTTTGTCTCTGTTCAGCGTGTGAGTATTGCCTGATACCTCTGTCAACTCACAAAATACTAATGACAAGTTCTTCTCCCTTGCAGTGGCTATGGTTTTGGCCCCATGCTATGGTCGCCCATGTCGGAAATGCCGAGTCTGGGACGCAGTCCCATCTATGTCTGGACGCTCTTGATCTTTGTTCTTCTGGAACTTCCCGTCGGCTTTGCCGTGAATCCTACCATGTTTCTCGTCTTCCGGACCCTGAGCGGATTTGTCGGCAGTCCTACCTTGGCCACCGGCGGTGCCACCATTGCGGATGTCTACGGCCCTGCGCGAGCAGCCTTTGGGATATGCATTTGGGCATCCTTTGGTGTATGCGGACCGGTCTTTGGTCCCCTCATTGGCGGCTTTGTGGCGCCCGTCAAGGGCTGGCGCTGGACAATTTGGTCTTTTACATGGATGTGCAGCATATGTTGGCTCTGCCTCTTCTTCCTGCTCCCGGAAACAAGTTCGGCAAATATCCTCTATCGAAGAGCCAAAAGACTGAGGAGGGCTACCGGACAAAATCAACTCAGGAGCCAGTCGGAGATCGACTCTGCCCACCATACAATGAAAGATCACGCCATTGTCCTGGGCAGGGCCTTTGCCCTCACGTTTACAGAGCCTATTGCCTTTTTGGTAGACTTGTACACGGCGCTGCTTTACGGAGTCCTGTTCATATGGTTTGAATCATTCCCTTTGGTGTTTGGTGGCCTCTACGGGTTCAGTACTCAGATGCTGGGTCTCGTCTACCTTGGGATATTTGTCGGGGGCGTCATCACAGTCCCTTGCTACTTGCTCTGGGTAAAGCGTATTCTAATTCCCAGTAGCATGAAATCAACCTTTAGGCCGGAGCATGTCCTTCCGCCTACATGGTTTGGTGCCATTTCCCTTCCAGTATGTCTTTTCTGGCATGGCTGGACAGCTAAAGAGGACATCCACTGGATGGTGCCTATAGTGGGCTCCTCATTCTTTACCGTGGCCCTGGTCACTTTCTTTAACGGAATATTGAACTATCTCGGCATGTCATACCCAGTGTATGCTGCCTCTGTGTTCGCGGGCAATGGGCTATTTCGTGCTTTATCCGGTGCGGTTTTCCCATTATTTGTATGTACATCAGAACTAAGCCAGCTCGTTATGGTCTGCTAACATTGAATGCGCCATCAAGGCCAGAGCCATGTTCAACCAACTCGGGATCGGCCCTGGCAATTCGCTCCTTGGCGGTATTGCTGCAATGTTCATTCCCATAAACTTTGTCATGTATTTTTGTTGCACTGACGTAGTCAGTACCCACCGCAGATCACCTGCGTGTGTATATAGTCGCTCTTCAGCACCTCTCTTTTGTAGACGAGAGATCAACTCAGACAACTTTCAATGCTTCCTCGATCATCTCGTCTTCAGTTCCCCCTTCACACATCGGCTCAGGTGAGAATTTTGTAAGTCTATCTTAAGACCTCGCCCTTGGTTTGGGTCATGATACTCACAATTGACCACCTAGTATGGAGATAGACTCCGACGTATGAGTCGTCATGCACAACATTAACACCCCGAAATTATGTATGTGCGCCTTTAGCTGATGTGCATGGATATTAATCAAGAGATGCGATGCAAGGAACATAACGCAGAGTCATCTGGCATGTCGCATCTGTCGTGGTACATTCCCGGACTTAGAGGTGGATTTTGTGCTTATTGCCGGGTAGTAGGTAGATGGCAACAAGTCCAATACAGGGATCAGATGCCGATGCATACTGATTCATATAGTATATCCACCGATGCTCGGAGTCTGGAGAGACCTGTGTCGAGTTTACTGAGTCGAGAGGAAAGAGAAATAATGCTCCTTGGGATTATAATTTTGACTATGCTTTCCCCGGCTTGTCGTCGGTTATTGAAAATTCTCTGAGCAGACTGCTCGCAGAGCTTCCTCCAAGAAATGAAGCAACGCCATCTTGCTCTTGAATATATCAATTCAATTAGCACATATACTTTTAGGTTTAAACTGCCAAACCTTTCATGACTTTTAGGGATTTTGTTCGATCATAACCATGGGACCTGTCCCGCTAACCTGGGGCTGCGCCTCAGTGCACTCTGACGGGGCCTTCCCCACTACGAGCGCTATAGACGAGCTTCTCACCACGCTGCAAGAGCTCGACATCAAGCATCTGGACAGTGCACAGCTCTATGGCGACTGCGAAGTCCTCCTCGGCCAGGCCGGCGTCGCAAAGTACAACTTTGCCATTGACAGCAAGACGCCAGGCGGGTTCGTGCCGGGCTCGCTGCAGCCAGAGCGACTGCTGGCCGATTTCCACACGACACTCCAAAACCTCGGCGTTGCGCACCTCGACACCTTTTTCATCCACGCGTCGGACCCAACGACGCCAATGGAGCCGGCCCTGGAGCAGCTTGACGTGCTGCACCGTGCAGGCTACTTTGCGCGCCTGGGGCTGTCCAACATGCAGGCCGACGAGGTTGTAGCCATCCACGGGCTCTCTACCCGGCGCGGATGGATTGTTCCCAGTGTCTACCAAGGCAACTACTCGGCGTTTGCGCGACGCCAAGAGACGGAGCTGTTTCCGACGCTGCGCCGGCTGGGCATGTCCTTTTCAGCGTACAGTCCGCTAGCCGGCGGATTTCTAGCGCGGAGAAGTGCTGGCGAGCTCTCGGCGCCAGAAACTGGAGGTCGCTTTGCTGTCGATCCGGCAGACCCCGAGGGGTCAAAAGGGAGGCCTGGGTCTCTACCGACAGCTGTATAGTTCACGGCCGCAGTTGGTTGAGGCGCTGGCCGAGTGGGGTCGCATCGCTGATAGCGCTGGTTGCAGCTGTCCGGCCGAACTGGCGTTTCGGTGGGTGGTCTGGAATTCAGCGCTGGAGCCCGCAATTGGTGATCGCATCACCTTGGGTGCCAGAGGTGTGCAACAGCTTCGTCAAACGGCGGGCTGGGTGACAAAAGGAAGCCTAGATGCAGAGACGATTGCCAGGATTGACAAACTGTGGAAGCAGATCGAAAGTGTTGCACCATTAGACAATAAGCACTTGTAGACTTTTTAGAGGACCTATGAGGCGTTGAGTATTCGGTAAAAGCTAGAAACAAAAGATCCCGTGCACAAGAAATAAGAATAGAGCTTAAATAGAAACGAGTTGTGCGGGCTCGATCGTTTCTCCTTGTACACAAAGCTTGTGAGTTCAGTATTGCCAATCTTTCCCCAAAGCCTTGCCCACCAACCCCTCGACCCCGACCCAACCGTCAAATGCCTAAGCCAACCCTCCTGTGACAGTAAACTTAACCCTGACATCTGGCTTTTGCCACAAGGTGAACAACTTGGACTCTTTCAGCAGGTCCACCTCCTTATTCAACAACTCCCAGTCGTACTTCCAGGCTAGCTTGGCCAGCGTGAGTCTCGCTTCTACCTTGGCCAGGTTGATGCCCAGGCACGCACGTGGTCCGATACTGAACGGCTGGCTCGCTGCCCGATTGTCTCCGGCCAAGCCCTCGCCAATCCACCGCTCGGGAACAAAATCATTGGGCCGGCTCCAGTACCGCGGGTCGCGTGTTAGAGAAAATGGGTTTGTCGATACAATAGCGCCTTCAGGTACCCAGTGACCGTCAATGTGAGCACCGGGGCACTCTCGTGGCAGGCCAATGGCCGCGGGTGGGAACAGTCGGAGTCCTTCCTCAATGACGGCCTCGAGATAGGGGAGTGAAGTTGCCGTGTCGCCGTTGATCTGGTCATACGTCGAGAACTCGGTTCGCACTTCGTGCTGCAGCTTGGCGAGGGTTTCGGGGCTCTTGAGTAAAAAGTAAGTGACCGCGCCCAAAAAGGTGGCCGTCGTTTCGCTGCCGGCGACAATCAGGACATTGGCCTGGTTCGAGAGGTACTGCTCATCAAGCTTCCCCCCCTGATTCTTCAAGAGATGACTGAAAAAGTCATCCCGGCCCATGTCACCAAGCGCAACACGCTTGCGCGTCTTCTCCAGCGTCAATTTCTGGTGCTTCTTGACGTTGGAGAGGAAGCTCATGGGGATGAGAAAGGGCAGGGCAAGCACGCTGGCAGGAATGCGCTTGCGAATATTGGCGAGTGTTATGACAAAAAAGCTGCTCATGATGACTTCGACCCAAAAGTGTGTCTTGCCAGATGCTACGTCCCCAAAGGACTCTCCAAACGCGAGATCCCCTACATTTCAATGATTTAGTACTCTTATGCGTAGTGGAATTAAGCGCAAGTGTTGTTCAATGGAACGGGGGTCCTTACCAATAATATCAAAGGTTAGCCAATTGAAGGCCTCTCCAATTTCTATACCACCATTTTCACTACTCAGCTTGCCCATTTGGTCCACAAAATGATCCAGATAGCCCTGAATAATGCCCTCTTGCCCGCGCAGACTCTTGGTACTAAATGCATGAGCCAATTGTCGCCGTTGAATCGAGTGCTCGACAGGATCTCTGACGGCGACAATATCAGGCCTGCCGTGCGCAAAATCGTAAAAGTCCGACTTGAGGAACGGTCTTCGACCCTTGGTAGCGTGGCTGTAGATGTCCTTGAGGGCCGTGGGCGTGTTGAAAGACAACTCGTTTGGTCCTATGCGCAGCACGTCTCCTGTGGGGTCTTTGTTAGTATACTGGCTGCACTTGCATGAGTAGAAAATGATGCCTACCATATTTCTGATGCAGGTCTCGTACGAGAAAAGGCCAATTCCCGCTTGTATACCATCGAGCATAATACCACTGCCCAGATTTAGCATTTGTTGACACGCTCGATGTATTATGCACTTACATCAGAGGCACATGCCCACTTGGGGCCTGGAAAGGCTGCAAGTGGGTGGTAGTATATGTTATATATACACTTGAGAAGCCAGATGCAAACAAGCTGATGCATTTGTCAATAGTGATTCGTGTTACATAGGTATATTTAAGAGGCATACTTACTGTGAAAATGGCCACAACGGCAGTGGTGTAATGAGGAAATTGTGATGATAACATTTTCAAGGAATTTACTAGCACGTACACTCCTTGAGTTCTGATTAGCTTTACTTTGAATTCTATTCGCAAGGAATCTCTCGCACTTTATACTCCATGAAGACCAGAATTCCAAGGGACTTGATATTGTACCCCTTCGCTTACAGCATGGCCACAAACTCACGGACCAACCCTTTCTGCAAACACTATCGTGAGACGAGTCAAGCCCGGTCTGCCCAAGACAAATTGCATTGCATCCGCATTTACGTGGCTTGACCAATCAGTAATCCCGAAGAGCAAGCGAATCATGAAAGCCACATCCATATGACTTCATATCATCCCTGTCTTGTGCTTTTTCTCCCTCTCTGCCATGTAAAAAGCAAGATTCATAGAAATGGGGCATGTATCATCCAACAAGCTTTCATCTAATGCTGCCTTGAAAAAGTCTGATATTTCGGAGCCGACATGCCGGATTGGGCAATCGGGTGGGGGCACACATGGCCCCCGCTCAAGGAGAACTGCAACGGCGGCACGGCACCAGCGCAATTCAAACAACTCCGGTTACGTGGCAAGGGAGCTAGTGTTGATAGTCCACGTAAGGAGAGAAAACAGTGTATATGTGTGAAGAAGGATGGATTGGATAAGCAGATGCTGTTGTGCTAGATAACAAGTCTCACCCTTCAATAGCCAAAGTCACGAATTTGCAAATAATGCAGCTGCCAGAGTTACCCTTATCAAGTCTGCTAAATGTGTTTACTGAGGGACTTTGTCCCTTGAATTGATTGTGCCTAAAGGAAATCCATTTAAAGTTTGCCCAGGTTCAATTACTTGTCGGACTTGCACGGCTCAGTACGTGTGGCATGAACGGGTTCCAGCCCGTCCAGAACCAGATTGGGGCCCGTGAAGGTCTTCCGCTTGCTCGTACACCACAATAGAGTTGTGAAAAGACAGACACCGGCAATGATGACGCTCACGTAGTTCATGCCAGAAGCCGCAACTGGCACAAATGTCGGAAAACAGAATATCACTGTGAATAGAGCGACCCAAAGTACAGAAAATAGGTTGCAAAACGGCCCCATGACTGAACCCAGATCCAGATAGCGAGGCGGAAGTGTTCTACTGCGCCCTCTGAACAGTACAACGGCTTGTGGAATGGCATAGGTGACGTTGAGAAACAGAATAGATGTGGCAATGAAGCTGTTGAACGCAGTCGTCGATCCAATGTAGATGAGGCCATACAATGTACAGAAGACGCCAGCGAAAAGTGTCGCATTGACGGGCACCTCTAATTTCTTGTTGACTTTGTCAAAGGTCGCCGAGAACACCATGACCTTGTCGCGGGCCAGAGCCCAGATAAGCCTACCAGTCGTGACTGTGCAAGCTAGACATGCGCCCAAATAGACGAACAAAAGCCAAGTCGTGAAAAAGGCAGTGGCGGCTTTGGAGTTGCGGAGAGTCTGGAAGTAGACCTCTACGATGGGAAGACTGCTCGAACTGACACTGTCGAGATCTTGGATGCTGAACATGAAGGCCAAAGTCCACGGCATCACCGTCACAATGCCGATAACAACAGTCATCATCATAGTCTGAGGAACCACACGGCCAGGATTCGGTACTTCCTCGGCAATATGAGTTGCACTGTCCACCGCGAGGAAGGTATACATGGCTTGGCCGGTACCAAGTAAGAAAGCCTGTTGAAGCGCGAGTCAGTCCTTAGAATCTAATATCTGGATGGCACGAGAGGGAGAACCGAGAATATTCCAACTTACAGCACCGTCATTCCACCCTGTCAGATTGACCCAGTCAACGAATATGGTTCTTGCCTCCTGCTTCGTCTCGCTCGCGGCGAGGACAGTAATGAGAAAGGCCACGAATCCAAGAAGCGAGGCACCAAAGAAGACTGTCTCAGCCAGTGGGATTGATTTGGGTAAGAAAATGGTAATGAGTGTACAGGCCGCAACAAAAGCCACGTAAATCAAGTAAATTTGCCATTGAGTCGGCGTGTAGTCTGGATGGAAGAGGCTGGCCAGACTGACGCAGACCTGGGCGCAGAATATAAAGGCTGATGCTGTAGTAAACAGCCAAGCAAACACGCTCATCCACCCGGTGAAAAAGGCGACGACGGCAGCCCATCGTCGGTCCGACACCATATATGCAAAGCTGTGGGAGTTTCGTGCGGTGAGCTCCAGTTTTCGGTCCAGAACATGATAGAGCAAGCATAGACTAAAAAGTCAAAGATATGAAAGGTTGGGACTAACTGATATTGGCCACCAGTCGAGGGAAACGCAGAAGACAGCTCGGCGAGGCCTGCAGTGATCAGAGAGCAGGCGACCGCAGCGGTGACCAGGCAGTATATGACGGCCGGCCCTCCTCCAGCCCATAGTGGTGTCACAAAGACCGCAGAGTAACCGATCCAAGAGTTTGTGATACTGAATGACAATGCTAGGATTGACAACATGGAAAACTGCCGTGGAAGCTCAGCAATGTGGCCTTGGGCATGGAGTTCTCGCTCATCTGCAGATAAAGTCTCAGGAATAGCCTCAGCAGCCGGGCTGCCCTCGTAGGTGTGCAATGTGGACGTCGTGGCAGGCGACGATTGAGCCCCCGACGACGATTGGTGTTGTGCCATTTTTGTGACAGTTCAAGAGCCTCTTGGCAAAAAGCAAGATTGAAAATGTCTCCGCCTCAAGCCAAGCAGGAAAACAAAAGGCTCATGTGACGGGTAATTGCAGCTTTACTTCCACCTTGGTTTCTAGACTCTGTTAGCTGTCTTATAGGTGGCTGATTGGCGATAATGACACAAACCATGCCGAGCTTCAGATAACAACAATTGTGACAAATACTGCCATAGAGGGATAGGCATCGCCATGAGTGTTATCATTAGACACAATTCGCTAGGGCACCTAGACTAGGCAGTATATAGGATAAGGCTCCTTGTAAAATGGCCTGGCAGAGAATCACTGTGGGGCGACTGAGATATTACCCAAATGTGGATAAGCGGGTGATTGTGGTTAGCTGCACCAACCCTATCTACTGAGGAATCTTCGTTGACAAAAACAGTCTGACTGGCAAGATCAGCTAGTAATCGTTATCTTTTGAATGAATCATGTAGGTTAGCAGTCGACTAGATTACAAACAAGTCGTTCTTGCGTGTGTAACAGAGTATACAACGACCCAGAGCGATCCATGCTGGGTCTAGGCTCAGATACGCATTCCTTTGATGGTTGAAGAATTGTATAGAGCAAGAGGCCTTCTACTATACCACTTTTGCAGCTCTGTTCTTTAATACAAAGCTTTTTTGTGTATCGTATCTTTTTCCTTTGGCGACAAGGTTGCGATTCAGCCCCGCGCTTTCAACACCGTTCTATCGACAGATACTCCAAACTCGATATGAATCAAACAATATCTCTCGGTCGCGTGCGACCTGCCAGGTTCTCTGCTTGCCGTATAGCCTTTACAGCGACTCGTGTCTTTGTCAAACCATACTCTGCATCAACGAGACCAAGCTTTCTTGCCAACGAGCCTGAAGGCCCTCAACTCACCGTTGCGATACCCGGGCCTCGCAGCAAGGCTATTCTTGATGACATGGCCACCATACTTGACACCCGCAACGTTAATATGGTCACCGATTTCGAGGCAAGCACTGGCAACTACATTGCCGACCCTGATGGAAATCTCCTCTTGGATGTTTATGCGCAAATCGCTTCGATCCCGGTTGGTTATAATAACCCCAATCTGCTCAAGGCGGTTCAGTCGAGGGCCGTGCAGTCTGCGCTGATCAATCGACCCGCCCTCGGCAACTTCCCGCAGCATGATTGGGCAGATATTTTGAAGCGCACTCTGTTGAAAGCTGCTCCGCCGGGCCTGAGCCGTGTCTTTACCTCCATGTCCGGGTCTGATGCCAACGAACTGGCTTTCAAGGCAGCATTCATGTGGAAGGCCAGGCAGCGACGAGGCGAGGGCAAGAGCTTTACTCCGGAGGAATTGAGGTCTTGTCTTGACAACAAGTCCCCGGGCTCGCCTAATGTCTCCATCTTGTCGTTTAGAAAGGGGTTCCACGGTCGCCTATTCGGGAGTTTGTCCACAACACGAAGCAAGCCTATTCATAAAATCGATATCCCGGCTTTCGACTGGCCGTGTGCACCGTTTCCGCAGCTGCAATATCCCTTGAGTGATTTCGAAAGCGAAAACGCAAACGAGGAAGCTCGATGCTTGGCAGAAACGGACCGTATCCTGTCAGAGTCTCTTGGTTCAGTAGCGGCCATGATTGTGGAACCTGTCCAATCAGAAGGAGGGGACAATCATGCCAGTCCTCGCTTCTTCCAAGCTTTACGAGGGCTTGCAGCCAAGCATGATATCATGTTCATTGTTGATGAGGTACAAACTGGAGTGGGCGCCACAGGAAAGTTTTGGGCTCACGAGCACTGGAACTTGGCATCTCCACCAGATATGGTAACTTTTTCGAAAAAGGCACAAGCCGCCGGATTCTTCTACCAAAATGTTGCCCTACAACCAAGCACTCCATACCGTCAATTCAATACTTGGATGGGAGATCCAGCCCGTGCACTGCTCTTCGGGGCCATTCGCGAGGAGATTGAACGCTTTGACCTGCTGCAGAACACTGTTGTAACTGGCGATTATCTGTACGCTGGTATCGAGGGGTTGCGAAAGAAGTACCCAGACCAGATAAAGAACTTGCGAGGCAAGGGAATGGGGACTTTTATTGCATTTGATACGCCTAATAGGGACAAATTGCTGGTGCAAGCAAAGTCGCTGGGCGTCAATGTTGGTGGTAGCGGTGAGGAAGCTGTCAGGTTGCGGCCTATGCTCATCTTCCAGCAGTATCATGGTATGTCGTCTCTCCTGCTCATAACTCTCCATGTACTAATAATGACTTACAGCCGACATTCTTCTTGACCGGCTCGAGACACTTTTGCGGCCATAAAATGCCTTTTTCTTACAATACAAGCGGTATTTAATGAGGGTGAAGGAAAAAGGGTCACAGGAAAAACAGCAATGTAGTTTGTTAAAATATCATGAGCAATTATACACCCTGATAGCTCTCGCAATGAGGATTCTTCAGAGTCATGCTTTCAGGATGAATTCATTTGATATAGTACTGGAAGTAAACATACTTGATTCAGTTTTACTCGAATCATCATAACATGCACGACACAAGACGAGCTATACGTCTCTTTGTGTCGAACAATGGTCATCTACAGTCGTGGCGTGAAGGATCGGCTTGTTTACATCGTGCTGGGGATTTTGCAGGCAGTAACTGACGCTAAGTTTTGCTTTACTGGGTGACTCTGGCCTTGTTGGCAATACGTTTGTATCTGGATCCTTGCCTCGGGATTTGTGTTACAGCTTACTACCGAGATTGACGTGGATCGCCTTGATCTGAGTATACGCATCCAATGCCGCTTCCCCAAGCTCTCTTCCGATGCCACTTTGCTTCACGCCACCAAAAGGTATTCTTGGATCACAATCCTGGCTCGAGTTCACCCAAACGGTCCCAGACTCGATACTTGCCGCGACACGATGGGCCCTCTCCAGGTCTCGTGTGAAAACCGCAGCCCCAAGACCATATATGGAATCATTTGCACGAGAAATAGCCTCTTCTTCGGTCGAGAAACTGCTGATGACAACAACAGGGCCGAAAATCTCCTCACGGTAGATCGTCATATGATCTTCCACATTGGTGAACACCGTGGGCAGGATGAAATACCCTTTGCCGTTGATTGGACAGGCTTTTCCGCCCATCTCCAGTGTTGCGCCCTCTTTCTGGCCTTCTTGAATGTAGGACAGGATGCAATTGTATTGGTCTTTCGACACTTGAGGACCATGGTAAGTGTCCTTTCCCCATTGATCGCCAATGATAGAGGTTGTTTTGATCCTCTCCTTAAACTGGGAAACAAAAGAATCATAGAGGTCATGCTGAACAAGGATCCGGGAAGTGGCTGTGCAGATTTGACCTTGATGCGACATGATTCCTAGATGCGACCACCTCACTGCTTGTTCGATATCGGCGTCGCTAAAGACTAGGAGCGGCGATTTCCCACCCGTCTCGATGGTGACGTTTTTGAGTGTTTCGGCAGCCATCTTGAGTATTGTTTTCGCAGTGACAGTTGAGCCGGTGAATGCAACCTTGTCGACAAGCGCATGCTTGACCAGGGCTGAGCCCGTTATACGACCGAGCCCGTTGAGAAGATTAACGACACCAGGAGGGAAGCCGGCTTGCTTGATCAGCTGTCCTAACATTAATATGCTCAGGGGCGTTTGCTCCGCTGCCTTGAGCACGATTGTATTCCCGCATGCAAGAGCAGGGCCCAGCTTCCAAGCTGCCATTGACAAGGGGTAATTCCAGGGGATAATTTGGGCCACAACGCCTATAGGTAGTCGAAGTGTATAAGCGAATTTTGAGCTGGTGGTGCTAATAGTTTGGCCAAATATCTTGTCTGCCCAGCCGGCATAATATCTCAGTGTGTTGATCGTTTCGGGTAGATCCTCGTTCAAGGCTACAGAAAATGGCTTGCCTGTAGAGACACAATCAACATGCATGTTCACATAAAAGTCAGAGCGGCGCCTGGAATGCGTTTCACGGGGTTGGGCAAATCGTACCATTATCCCAGGCGTCTATAGATGCCAGCAATTCCTTGTTTTCCTCAACGAGGTCCGCTAGCTTGCTGATCAAGATGCCCCTTTCTGTTCCCTCCAGAGAAGTCCATGGGGAGTTAACCAGGGCATTCCGAGCCGCCCGGACAGCTTTGTCCACGTCTTCTTCTGTAGCAGCCTGGACTCGGGTGATCAGTTTCTCGGTTCTAGCAAGACCGTTGTATTAGCGTCATGAACGGTTTTAATGTTTCGGTCAAGGACTCACGCAGGATCTATTGCTTGAATGATCTGCCCATTCGATGAAGGAGCAAACTCGTTATTGATGAACAAGCCTAAAGGTTGTCTGTAGTGGAAGCCGTTGGGCGTTTGAATCTCTTGAACGAGCTCAGCCATGGTTGCGCAGGCAATTACGTGGGAAGTGTTGTCTAGTGCTGATTAGAGGCCGGATAATACAGTCTCTGAATAGGAATTATAAATTCACAACGATCTACTCCCAATCTGATAGGCCCTGGAGACGCCAGCTTATTGAGCCGACATGGTAGCTTAGGTACCGCGGTCATCTGCAGGGACCAAGCCCCTAGCAATCCACTGGGTCTGGCCCTAGAGAACACTCAAGTTGCCGCTATGCTGACTTGGAAGTTCAATACGCTACTTCCGACTTGTAGTGTGGGTTAGTCTCGAATTCAAATATTATCCTCATTAGGAATAGTCTTCCCACCGGGCGCCAGCTCGACAGGGAACTAATCTTAGAGCAGGCGGTTCCGGCAAATAATAGCGCTATCCGATCGACGGTAGAATCGTGCAACCTTTGTTACCGAGCATTGGACGACGACTCGCTGGGGGTCTAAAACTTCAACTGATGACTCAGGGACAAGCCAAGGGACGACGCGCAGTCGACGTTTTTCAACTATCTTGTCCAACCCCGAAAAGCGGCACATTAGGCAGTAAAGCTGAGGAGAACGCTACAAAATGTTCATTGGCCGGTCCCGATAAGATTATGCCCACTAATGTACATTACACCGTGGGGACGATGGCTTTTCATTGCCTGAAGAGTTGGTGACTATATAGTAGATATATTCTTGCTGCAAATCGCCGTAATTTCACAGTTCAGTCAATCCAACATACCCAGTGCTGCTGTCTCGCGTCCACACATCATGGCACCAGACACGAATTCCATTGCGGGATACGCCATCTACAACAGCGCTGCGGCCGCTGAGTACATTGATCCCAATCCCACCAAAAATAGAGTTCCACATCCACTCGGTAAGCCACCCAGACACTCACTCCTAGAAACGAGTCCTAACATAGTTGCTAGACCAGCTCTCCGTACAGGAAGTCTGCGCCGTGACGGAGCTTGTCAAGGCGAATTTTGGCAATGTACGCATGAAATTCAATACCATCACTCTCCATGAACCGACCAAGGCGTCGTACTTGGAATTCCGGGACAATCACGGACGGCGACCAGAGCGCGAGGCCTTTGTCATTGTTTTTCTCGAGGGGTCTTGCCATGTGACAGAAGTCATTGCCAGCGTCACACGGAGATGCATCATCTCGAGCAGAACGCTGGAAGATGTGATGCCAATCCTCACACTGGAGGATCTCGATATCTGCGAGAGAGTCGCCCGCGCTGATTCTCGTGTGTTGGAGGTGTGCAAAGAGATAGGGATTTACAACATGGATGAAGTCTTTTTTGACGGATGGGCAATTGGCATCGATGAACGATTTGGATTTGACCGCCGTCTTCAACAAGGACTTGCCTATTGGCGTAGTTCCAAAGTCGACAATCAATATGCTCACCCGCTTGACTTTGTCGTGGTTATCGATACGGAAAGGGAGGAAGTCCTTCGCATCGACATCAAGGGGCACAATGGGCAACGCGTACTCCCACCGCAGGCAAACCACAACTTTTTGCCGCAATTCATTGGTCACGATTATTTGACCAATAGGCTGAAACCTCTCAACATTACACAGCCGAGTGGTGTATCGTTTACCATGGACGGCAACCATCTCTCTTGGGCTGGCTTCCACATGCATATCGGTTTTAATTACCGTGAGGGAATTGTGATTTCCGACGTGTGCGTGGACGATATGCACGAGAAGCGTCGCCGCATGATTTTTAACCGTTTGAGTGTGGCGGAGATGCTTGTACCCTATGGCAATCCTGAAACCCCGCATCACAGAAAGCATGCCTTTGATATTGGTGAATATGGCATGGGCTTCATGACAAATCCGCTCAAGGCTGGCTGTGATTGCAAAGGAGCCATCAAGTATCTCGATGCCATCATCTCGACGGGCAAAGGCGAAGCTGCAGTCGTCCCCAACGCCGTCTGCATCCACGAAGAAGACAATGGTCTTTTATACAAACACACCGACTACCGCGATGGGACAGTTGTATGTGCACGGGACCGAAAGCTTGTGATTTCGCAAATTATTACAGCTTCAAACTACGAATACGCATTCTATCACATATTTTCCTTGGACGGCACATACAAGCTCGAAGTCAAGTTGACAGGTATTCTCAATGTATGGCCGCTATATGCAGGCGAAAGTGCCGGTCCGTATGGATCTCAAGTCGCCAAGTCACTCAACGCGCACAATCATCAGCATATCTTTTGCTTGAGAGTCGACCCTGCTATTGATGGTAATCAGAATACCGTGGTACAGAATGATGCAGTTTCCTCTGAGATTCCCGTCGGGCAGGCCGGCAACTTGTACGGCAACGGATTCTATTGCAAGAAAACACCCATCAGGTCTACCCGGGATGGAGCTTGCGACTATTCTCATGAAACAAGTCGCACCTGGGACATAATCAATCCCAACAAGATCAACGCTGCCTCGGACAAACCCCCTGCCTACAAAATCATCAGCCGCGAATCCCCGATCTTGTTGTCGAAACCCGATAGCCTCATCTGGCGTCGGGCTGGATTCGCTCGCCATACCCTGTGGGTCACCAAGTACAAAGAAGGTCAACGATACCCTGCTGGAGACTATGTCTGCCAATCGACCGGTCACCCAGGATGGCCTGCCAATGAGACAATCGTTGACTGGACAGCAAAAGATGAGAATATCGAGAACGAAGATATTGTCTGCTGGTTGCAGTTTGGCCTGACCCATTTCCCGCGCACAGAGGATTTTCCAATCATGCCGGCAGAGCCCGTTAGCATCATGCTCAGGGCAAGCAACTTCTTTGAGAAGAACCCGGCCTTGTGGGTGCCACCGACTACTGTGGACGTGGATCGAGTATCGAAAGATCTGAACAAATGTTGCGGAACATCTCAAGTCACAGCAAGTGGTGACAGGGCCATATCGACTGCATGTCGATTGTGATGGACACCATTGAATAGTATATAATTTGATTGAGTAATTTACGCCGTGACATATGATGCTAGGTTTTGCATCCTTCACAAAGGCAATTTTACAGATGAACTCGTCTTGATCATGTATTTTGCACTCCTACACAAAGTACTACACAAGCATTAGAACTACTTAGCCTTGTCACCTCCCGGGTCCTGCTCGCTGCACCGAGCACTGTCAGTATGCCCATGGGATATTCTCAGGCACGCCGCGGTGAGTTCTCTGCAACGCGCTCCTTGAGTCCACAACCTTGATTGGTAAATGTATACTTTCACCCAGTAAGTATAATTTACATTGCATGTGCTCGATGCAGCTTGATTATTTTCATTACGTACCATCATCCTTGAATGCACACGGCTAGTGAACTGTCGGTTACGTGCATCCATTACTTAAACCCCTATCGCAATACGATCTATGGAATAGACCAAGCCATACTTGCAGGTGTAGAGATTCCACCCTTGTCGGTTTAGCCCAGCGCCATCTGTTTAGAAATACATTTATCGCATGTTCTCCCCTCTCTACTATCTTGCGTTGGCCAAAACACTGATTGTGATGACGCTTCGGAGTCTTCCGCTCTCTGAAGAAGAATAAGTCCCGCGGGCAAATCGGATTGATTTGTCGATGATTGGCAGGCTCAGATATTGCCCGTTTTCGGTTAGTATTAGCTGAGTCGCGAAACGGGCTCCACTGTGCTTTGCTGAATCCAGCTATCATCGACTATGAACCTCTGTGGCGGATGTCTGCCCAACAACTTCTCCCAAATTCTCGCCGTGGAGACACGAACCTTGTTACGATAATGACTGAGACAATGGTCACCCCAGCCGACATCGAACGTTGGAGTTGCGATGTGCGTCAGGCTGTCTGATTCAGCGAGATGAATAGGATATATAGTCGCAGAAGTGATGACTAGCCAATACTGTAGACTTGGAAGATGTGACGTCCCAGTACTTTGAATTTCCCGAATCAGCTGAACTTGATTCCTTAGCCATGGAAAAGTATCTCATTTACCTCGCCATATTCGTGGTGTCTATGGGACTCTATCGTTTCTTCCTGTATCCTGTCTTTATCTCTCCTCTTGCAAAAGTTCCAAACGCGCACTGGAGCAGCGGACTTAGTTCTGTTTGGCTTTACTCGATGAAATGGACAGGTAGAGAGAATTCTGAAGTTTACCAAGCACATCTGGCCAAAGGACCATTGATTCAGCTGGCACCTGGCCTCCTGAGTGTCAAGTCCATTGACGATGGGCTGAAAACCGTGTACCTGGGCGGTTTTCCCAAGCCGCCATTCTATTTCCACGGCTTCGCCGTTTACGGGTGTGTTGCGTTCCTATTCTGTTACTGGCCACTACTCTATTCATAGCCGACGGTTCTTCGCAGTGGGAATTGACAAAAGCACCAAGACTAACATTGTTTCAACAGAAAGGGCAACCTTTTTACCATTGTCGATAATGCCACGCATTCGGCCCAGAAGAAAATCATGTCTCATGCTTTCTCAAAATCAAATGTCTTGGCATCGCAGTCCGCTCGCATCGCTACACGAGATGTCCTGTTCGATCGGGTTCTCCCCAAGCTGCACAAGGCTTCAATAAACGACAGCCCCATTGAGATAATCGAGTTCAACTACAGCTACTACCTGGACACGTTTGTGCAGTGGCAATTTGGGCATTCGTTGAGAAGCAACCTTGTCGAAGACGAGCATGAGAGAAGGCTCTACCTGGATGGATTCTTTGGTCCTGCCGGCTTCACCTTTTGGCAATACTACTTCCCAAATCTCTCTGCAAACCTTCGCCGGATTGGAATATACCTGATTCCCAAGTGGGTGGATACGGGCTTTGCAGCCGTGGAGAAATGGAACCTGGACAAGTGCGACCAAGCGCAGCAACTCCTCGCCAGCGGGCAAGATGTGCCCGTCGAGGATCAATCACTGCTCTTTGAAAAGGCCCTCAAAGGCATGAGCAGAGTGGATACCAAACCAAGAGAGTATCCGAATCGTTTGGAACTCGCGAGTGACATGTTCTCGCTCAACTCGGGCGCCTTTGAGACGAGCGGAAACACGACTACTTACCTGTTCTACGAAATGTGCAGAAACCCCCAATGGCAGACACGCCTCCGGAAAGAGCTGATGACTCTCAAGGTGCCCCCTATACATGTGCCGGGAACCAGATTAGATCCTGATGACATCACGAGCCCACGGGACCTCGAAGAATTACCCGTGCTACAGGCAGTCATCATGGAGACTCTGCGACTGTGGCCATCGGTGCCCGGTGGCCAGCCTCGTGTAGTTCCGAAAACGACTTCGCTAGGCGGGTACCATGACATCCCAGCTGGAACAGTTGTTCAAGCCTACGCTTCCGTCTTGCACCGGGAGCCCGAGGTGTTTCCCGATCCTTTTGCTTGGAAACCAGAACGATGGCTAGAGTCTTCGAAAGAAGAACTTGCCGTGATGAAGAGGTGGTTTTGGGGTTTTGGCAGCGGGAGTCGCATGTGCATAGGCAGTCATTTCGCCTACTATTGTAAGTCACGGGCCTCCATTGTGAGTAGCAACAAAAAAAACAAGAGTGCTAATGGTGTTGGATATAGCGATCAAGTTTTTAGTGTCTAGTGTTTACACAAATTTCACTACCACGATACACGATCATGGAGACATGGAACCCAATGATGGTTATCTAGCTGGACCAAAAGGGCACCGTCTTGAAATCAAGTTTCACAAAGTGGAAGATGGACAAGACGCTAGAATTTAGTGACTTTTAGGCACTATCAAGAAAGTCAAAGATGTATGTATGAGACCGCATCCTTCAGTGGGAGCTATGCATCTTCAGCATTACAAACAATCAATAATTTGTGCTGCTAGGAGGTAACGAGAGTCTTTGAATTCCCATGTATACCTGGTTCTTGCTCGTGGAAATATCCGTAGAGCTTACTTAGCCTTCTCTACTTGCGACAGAATCTTGTCAGTGCGGTGCCGGTGGACATACATTGAAACGGATTCCTTCAGTCCCAAATGTCCTAGTCTTACCAATACCTTGTGAGCATCATAAGATGAATGTAGACCAAAGCTTTCGCACCATTCCACGTCTTGGTGACTACTCCATCTTGTAGGTCAACAACTGTTCCAGTCAAGTCAAATTGCTACTGAAGATTCAAACCAGTGGATATCCCGGTTTTCAAATGATGAAAATTGAGTAGTCTTGTTCAAATCAAAGCAGATTACGCATGTGCTGCTTTTGAAGGAAGAAACGAGTGCAGAAAACTGAGATAAGCAGGCATTGTCTTATTGTTTGAGTCATGGTTGCAATTGATCCTTTACGCCTATTTGCATCCTCAGACGTGCGTACCATCCTCCTCCAAACCGCGCCAGCGAGCAAAATTGTGCATTTTGAAGCGATCTACCATGCCTCCAAAAGTAGACCACTCGATCCCTTCATAACCATTGACCCACTCAATAAACTGCTCAATCATATTCAAAACGTGCGGCTTTCCACTGATCTGTGGATGCAGACTGAGAGGCAACACTACTTCGTCATGTCTCTGATAGTAATAAAGAAAGTGGGTCTTCCACATTTTCAAAACAACATCAGGGTCGATGAATCCGTCGCTGCCTCCATCCCCGGGCGAAAAGGCTGGCCAGTCGTCGAGATGCCAGTTGGCAGGGACCGTGACAATGCTAGATATCTTGGGATTCATCGTGGGGTGCATCCAAGTTCCTGCTGACTGAGCATAGTCTGTCGTTTGAGCCTTGTAGTCCGAATAAGGAGTATAGTATAGCAAGCAGTCGTGATGCATACAACTATGATCGTACTCGATTCCTGCCTCTTCCAGGAGTTGCACCGTCGAGGACGAGCAAGTGAAACCCGGAGCTGTCCAGCCTCTGGGTTTATAGCCCAAGAATGCGGTCATGACGTCCAATGACTTGCGCAGAACGTCGGCCTCTTGATCCCGAGACAGAGAGGAGACATATTCATGCGTGTATCCGTGTAGTCCTCTGCAAAGCAAAAGATTGAGTAAATGACAGTCTGCTTTATCGACTCCTTTTTTCTTGGTGGGAGGAGGGGCTTGTGCAGGAAGGGGGAAAAAAATAAACTTTACATTTCATGTCCACTATCACGGATTCTTGTTACTTGCCGTGGAAACGTTTCGCAGGTATGAGCTGGCACAAACCAGGACGCCTTGATGCTGTGCTTTTCTAGAAGGTCCAAGAGTCGTTCAATTCCAACAGCTGCCCCAAAAACGCCCCTAGAGATCTTTACAGAGTCACAGGTCGACCCATCTTGCGTATCTATCCTGCAGTTGGTGTGTCAGTTGCACAGACAAAAATAGATATGGATGTAATGCATTGTCATACCAGCCTGCGACAGCATCAACATCAATGCCAAAACCAAGCAGTACTTTCTTGGGCATCGTGACACTTGTGTAGTAAGGTCCAGAAGTTTCAGTTCTTGTGCTGATGTACGAATCATGTGCAGACGGCGGCCACGTTCTGCTGTTGTTGTTGCCATTGTATGCAATTATAGTGGAAGCCTTCTTTTTACGCACAGGCAGCATGACCCACACTATCCACCAAAATAGAGCCTAATCACATATTCTTGCAGGATAATACTTAGTCCCTAGACCTTTCCTCATTGAGGATGACTAGGTAGCTCATCGACCTTCCCAAATAGGACTGTATTTTCATCCGACTCTCCTGCTCTGTTCGATGCTTCACATCTAACATGATCTCCGAGTAATTGTTCGAGTTCGTACGATAAGTGGTACTTCCCTAAGGAATGAAAAGAATGTTAATACGCGCAGGAGCCCAGGGCCTAGGGACCAGTTGCACTACATGCGAGCATATCTGAACTCTCACTCTTGTTCTTGCCGGCCATGTCTATTCCACAGATCAACTGCAGTGGTACACCCTACGAGATCGGACACCAACATGGGGCTCAAGCGGCCGAGTTAGTCCACGGGAGCATCCAGTTCTACGCAGAAATGTTCGATTTGTACACGGGCAAGACTTGGGCTGAGATCCGACTCATCGCAGTGCGTTTCGGCGATAACATACAAGTCAAATGGCCCCGGTACTTTGAGGAGATGCAAGGCATCGCAGATGGGGCACAATGTCATCTAGCCGACATACTGGCGTTGAATACAAGGACTGAGGTTGTGTTTGGTCTGATGGTTCCCGAGAGAGTGGTCAGTGATGGCTGTACAAGCTTGTACTGGGCCAGGGATCAGGACAAGAAAATGGGCCAGAATTGGGATTGGATGGAAGAGCAAGGGTGTAATATTGTCTTGTTGACGATTCATCAAACTGGCATGCCCGTCATCAAAATGGTGACGGAGGCTGGCATCATTGGAAAGATTGGGATGAATTCGGCAGGCGTCGGAGTTTGCCTGAACGCTGTGAGATGTAGCGGACATGACATTGCAAAGATACCGATCCATCTTGCACTCAGGCTGAGCTTGGAAAGCGAGACGCTGTCGCAGGCCGTGGATAATGTGGAGGCCATTGGCGCAGCCGGTTCGGCTTTCTTGCTCCTTGCCCAGGGTGATCAGTCCATGGGGCTCGAGATGACGAGCACGACGACCAAACGCATCGGCAGAGACTCGTACGGGCGCATAATGCACACGAACCACTTGTTACAGAAGCACGATCAGGTCGTGGAGTGGCCAGAGGAAGACTCCTTCAGCCGCTATGAGCGCATCACCCAATTGACCGAGGAATACCACGGCGCCCACTTGACGGGACTTCAAGAGGAAGGCTTTCTCGGTTTCTTCGATGACCACGAAGGGACCCCGTTTGCAATCTGCAGACGACAAGAAGGGGACTGTAAAGATGCAACCCTGTTCAACATAACCATGGATCTGGACAAGAAAACAGCGGTTGTGAGAAGGGGAAAGGTATGTCATGTGCAAGAAGAGATTCGTCTAGACTTTTCGTAGCATGCATCACAGTACAATAGATAGCTACACTGTTCCATTGACCAATTGATCTAGCGCTAGTGACGCTGTTCTGAGCCTATGCGACTCAGTGACCTAGGTACTAACGAGGTTCCTTAGAGGTAGATGGCTAGGTCTTGTAGGACTCGATCTGCGGGGTTCAGGGCCTGGAAGGGGGCCTGGGGTGGTTCCCCCAAGCTCTAGCGGCTTTCTCTTATTTATCTAGCTCGTACTTCGCGGCTATCTATCTCTCTGCACTTGATCTTTGAATTTGATCTGAAATGCAAACCATTACATTGTATCGTCTCCGCCTTGCTGTTCCCAGCATCTCCAACTGCTTGTCAACACAGTCGATAATATCTTGTCTTGCCCTCTCGCGTCGTGCGCCAGTCCAAGGTATGCCCGTTCCCATCTGCTGCTCGTCATAGTGCGGGTGATTGCGACTAGGGCTATGCCAAGAACGTATCATGGGGCGAAAGTATCACGGAGCTGCTTGTAGGACCTGCCGACGCCGCGGCAGGAAGTGTACTCGAGAGCTCCCGGCTTGCCAGTCGTGCATTGACAAGGGCAACGAGTGCGAGGGCTATGCCTTCAAATTCGCGGGCCTGGCCAGTCGGGGCTTTCTCAGCGGGCATGCCGGCGTAGGTGAAGTCAGATTCAAGAGGAATCCGGGTCCCAGAAAGGCCAACAGGACTCAGGTGCAGCAGCAGGAACGCAACGAGCAGCCTTTGCCATTAGTCGATCCATCTCAATTGCCTCTTGTTCAGGATGATGGTGACGATGTACCACCTTCTGGAGAATCGGTAATGCTGGATCTTTCATCGCCCGGTCCGGCGCCACAAGATTGGCAACTCGTGGAATCTGGAATCCGGGACGAAACTCCCCAGCGTGGTTCCATCACCGATGGAGAGGTCACTCTCTCGGCCTCTGAAAATCTGGAAGACTCCCAGCGGAGATGTGAACTACCAAACCCATTCGTTGGCCCCTCAGCAGCCATGAATCTTTTCCATCTTCCCGTCGAGCTGAGTTTTGTACTGGAGTACCACTTCCATGAAGCGGCAGCCAAGCTGTGCGTTGACAATGACGCAGCTCGAAATCCGTACCGAGAGTATATTTATCCCCTTGCCCTGCAGCGGCCAGCACTACTCTATGCATGCGCCGCCTTGTCATCAGTGCACTACAGCACACGACACAAAAACGAAGCCTTCCTCGTCGATGCACTACGTTTTCGAGGCAAGGCTTTGAGCCGGTTGCAAGAGTCCATGTGGTGCGTCGATAGTTCCTTGGATGAGAGCAACTTGGCCACCTTACTCATGCTCATCCTGTGTGATCTTTGCATGGGCGGCCCTTCCAATTTTGAGACCTACTTCACCATGGCAAAGAGCTTGATCAATCTACGTGGCCCTCTCAGGACCCCTGACAACTTTGTCGAGCAATACATTTCCTGGATGGACATCATGTCTTGTGCGTCTACTTCGCGACAGCCAGTCTTTACCATCGAGGACGTGGCTTCGCTGCACCAAAGGAATTTGGACTGGAGTCACGACGTTGTGCCTTGTGCAACAGATCTCTTCTACATCTTTCTCGACATTGTTTCGCTACACAAGAATACGCAACTCGGCGCTACCGATGTCGATGCCCAGCTTCAGTCCTTGAAAATGCGTATCCTAACGTCCCCCCCTCGCGTCGAACGGGGAATGCCCTGGTTCCATTTGACCGAAGCCTACCGTTTTGGGATCCTTCTTTATGCTGCCCTCTTGTTTGACAAGACTCAGGACGAGGATGAAATGGCTTGGCTGGTCAGCAGCATCATCCAGCACGCAAAATCAATACCGAGTCGTAGCGGCTGGGCTGATCAGCTTCTATGGCCCTTGTTTCATGCTGGCCTACGAATGTCAGATCCGAGGCAACAAGATTGGCTGAGGGGGAAACTTTCGGAAATGCAGACCTCTGGAGGATTTCGAAACGTCACCAGCGCACAAGAAGTGCTCGAGATGTGCTGGCGCGGAGAAGTCTCTGGGAAATACGCCGATCTCTTGGTGAAACAGGGTGTTGGAGACATGATCGTAATTTAGTCAACTATGGAACTTGGCACAGGTGTGATCTCGGCTTCAATGTATGAATTCAATATCTGACCACCCATTGTCTATACTCTGGCCAACGGTGCCTGTGCCTTCAAGCCCTCACGGCAGCTTCTGATGAGTGATTCTGCGCATCTCGCCCCAATCAAGTAAGCATTGATTTGGGTGTGATTGCAAGTCAGAATTGGGCATACAGAAAGATCTGCCACCTTGAGCCCGTCAACACCTTTCACGTTGAAATGAATATCTACCACGTTCATTGGGTCCTGATTGGTGCCCATTTTGCATGTTCCAACACTGTGAAAGCCCTGGCCCAGGTTACTCTTGACGAAATCGAGTATTGATTCGTCGTCGTCATTCTTGGGCCCGTGAACCACTTCCTCAATCACGCCTTCGTAAGCCTTGGCCTTGGATAAGGAGAGCGTTGTCCGGATGGTTTCAATGGCTATCCGCTGATCGTAGGGGTGGCTCAAGTAGCCCGGGTCAATCACGACCCGTACGCCCGATCCCGACTTTTGCAAGCTCACGGCGCCGCGGGAGAGGTTATTCTGCAAAAGCAGTTCATGCGTTGCAAAGGCCTGTCCCGGTTTCACTGGTCCCTGATACGCTGCATAGCCCGAGCCTAGCCAGATTTCGGCAGATGGTCGCTGAGGGTGCGTCAAATACTTTTTGGTCTCTGCACTGAGAGCCTCAAACTCGGGTGTGTTCTGTAGGCTTTCAATCTTGGGAAACGCGACGGCGCCGCTCGTGCCGAAAACACTGAGGGGGCCTGTTCTGTCCCGTTGATATTGGGCCTCGGCAGCTTCGAGAAGGGCTCGGTCGTCAAAGAGGCGGCGGTGGTCAATGGCCAGGTCCGTCACTCTATATTCCAAGGTCAGGATGCTATGGTCGAGCATGCCGCAGCCGACCCCGGGGGCGTCGTGGACGACGTCGATCCCGAGCTCCATCAATGTGTCCTTTGGGCCAATGCCAGAGGACAGGAGGATCTGAGGCGAGGCGATTGTGCCGCTGCATAGTACAACTTGTTCGCTACAAAAGATTGTAGTCTCCTTGCCATTACTACCAGGCTGGCTCACAACAACGCCGCACACTCTTCGCTCATTGAACACTAGTCGCTGGACAGTGGTGTTTGTTTGAATCGTCAGGTTTTGGTGTCTGGAGCGGAAACCAGTGTCGAGATAGGCATTGGCTGCGTATGAACGTATACCGTTCCGCGTATTGGTCTGAGCGAGGCCGACACCGATCGGGTTCCCGGAGTTGATGTCGTGACAGATATTGATACCAATCTCTTGACAAGCTTTGACGAATGTTGGTACACCGGGTGTCATTTCCTGGCCGAACCCTAATTTGATTGGGCCACCGACACCATGATTGGATGCATCGACTTGGACCAAATGCTCATATCCCACCGGCGCCTTTGGATCAAAGTCCTCCATTTCCTTCATAATGGGCAGCACATTCTTCCAAAGCCAGCCATCGTCCCCAGTTCTCCTCGCCCACTCGTCATAGTCCGCTGCTGGACCTCGAGCCATGGCCATGTAGTTGACTGCCGAGCTTCCTCCCAGCTGTCGGCCACTGACCCAAGCCAGGGAACGGCCATTGAGATGTTCCTGAGGTGCTGTCCCATGTTGCCACAACCCTTCAAAGTCGCTCTCGAGTTGAGAGACATATTTTCCGGGAACAAGGACATCTGGCACCACGTCAGCGTCACGACCTGCTTCCAGGACCAGCACAGAAGCATTGGTCTCAGAAGCCAGGCGGTTCGCAATAACTGCGCCCGAGGTACCACCTCCCACAATGATGTAGTCAAACTGAGAAGCCATGTCAATTCGTGTTATTCAAAGTCTCAAAGAGGTGTCCGAGTAGAGAGATACACTACGATGGAATGCTATTAAAGTACCTTGGGACGTTTCATAGTGCTTAAAAGCATATATCAACATGCTGAGAACTTTAGGGAAGCCTGAAAACTATACCGGCTAACACACCATCTGCTCCGTACCCAGAATAGGTCAGTTTCAAAGTTGATGTCGTTGCGCTGCAATGATAAGTGCCTGGTCAGTGGCCAAGCTAGTCTGCATCCAGGCAAGCAGTGAGCATTGGAAAGGTGTAGTTGAAAATTGACCCTTATCGGCAGACTGCTCACATTTATGCCAGATCGGGTATCACAGACCCTTCTGTCCGCTGATCGCATAGATTTATTTTGCTAAAGGGAATGGTGTTATCTTTTCAGGGTCAGTCTCATAAATTGCATTATCGATTCTTCTAGCCGGGTATATTTCCACTGGGAGGACCGCCTGGCACAGAATGACCAGCTGCGTGGCGTCCTCAGAACGAGTATTATCACGAGTATCCGTGCGCAGTACTCTATTTTCTTAGCAGTATTTGATTGGAATAGCTTCTACTATCTAGCGGGAACATTTGCGATGATTTGTTCTTGTCTTCCTTTCTACAATTTCCATGTCGGGAACACTCTCATTTGGCCAAGATGGAGCAGCTGGAGATGATTGATGATATGTAGGGTAAGATTGAATCATCAGTCTCGTTCCGTATGGTCAAACATGATCTCTGTTCAAATCGACCATCTAGCACTCAAATATCCTTCTTGTATGCCGCTTGCACCTGGACCTCCACCAAACACTTTGGCGGAAACAGGGCGGCCACACATATGGCTGCCCACGCTGGTTTATTCATCCTCAGATAGCGCCTCGCCACAGCTGCGATTTCCAGCTGGTCTTGCTGTGGCACAACACCGACGTGGAAAGACGTAATGTTAAAGACACCTTCCCAAAGCTCCTGGGGGGACAGACTGGGCTGGGCCGCCGATAGGGACTTTTCAATATTCTTGAGTGCAAGTTCAAATTGCTCAGCGTGTCCGCCGCTAAACTGCTCATTGTTGGCACCCGAGGGTTCGAATGGCGAATAGTCGGCGGCTTCGCCAATCTGACCCGATGTGGCTACGATGCAAGTGTTGGACACTTCAAAGGAGCTTGCGGCGCTAATGTTGAAAACATCCCCCAGGGTCGCATAGCCTGGGTAATCATGGTTCTTGATAAAAGAAGGCATAATTGCTGTTGGTATGTTGAAGATAATGTAGGCAAGATGATGGATGGTGTGGCAGGCAGATGATGGAAAGACAGTTCCAGGCTCTCATTGAATACTAGGTCCGACAGACACGTTATGAAGCCTTAAAAGAAAGAGACCCGCATCCATGACCATGTTGAACCTAGAGATATACGCATGAAGCTGGCCTCGCCGACGACGGAGGGATTCCAGGGCACACGCACTATACCCCTAGGCCGGGATGCCAACTAAAGCCTACTACATACGCGCCTAGTAGCTCAGACTTTGCCTAATGGGGTCAAAATTTGAGTCCAGAGTCAGTCGTCACCTTGCATGGCCGGCGCCCCCACAAAGACCGAGCTGACTTGACCTGCGCACAAGGTATACAGGGACGGCTTCAGGGTCGACTTACGCAACTATCTGAGAAACTGATTGTAGAAACCGAACAGGCAGGTCAACAAGCCAAGCTTCAGAAAGAAGCGCGGCTAGGTGGCAAACTCTGGTGACAGACACTAGTTGCTCAATACTCCTCCCAAGACCTCATCTAGATGCTTCAACAAGTAAAGCGACTTGATTCTATGAGTGTGGCTCAAGGGGTACAATTTACGGAACAATGAAGAAAGAGAAATTGTATCCAATGTCTTGAGTGGTTTTCACGTCACGTTCAGGTGGTGCAAGCTCAATGCAGCGTTGGATTTCACCTAGACAGCCAGCAGGTATAATCATGTTGTATGTCACACAAAGCTTCTGCTTCATTTCGGGCCATGTCGATTGACTGAACGAAACTTCTTTACAATATGAACATGTTTCAACATTGTCGCCATGTCTGTTCGCCAACAATGCTGCGCCGAACGGCCCTCTCTGTGCGTCGTGATTGTTACCTCCAAGGTTCGAACAGACTGAGCTTCCTGGCGAGGCATGGTGTACGCGCCTCCTCTACACGGTCGTGTTTTCCATCCACCGCATCCAACGACACCAAACTTGACGACACGACCATTTTCCTTGATAACAAGGCCGTATCATCAGAAGCCACCAAGTGGTACAGTGTTGTCAACCCAGCGACTGGCAATGTGGTGACTCGTGTTCCCCAGTGCACAAATGCCGAGATGCAAGCAGTCGTCGCCAGTGCCGAGAAGGCCTTTTCGTCGTGGAAAACCACAAGTCTACTGCATCGGCAGTCCATCATGTTCAAATACGTCTCCTTGATCAAGGACAACTGGGACCGACTGGCCGCCAGCATAACGCTTGAGCAAGGCAAGACTTTTGCCGATGCCAAGGGAGATGTGCTGCGTGGTCTCCAGGTCGCAGAAACTGCGTGTGGAATCACCACACAGATGCCGGGCAAGGTGCTTCGTGTAGCCAAGGACATGGAGACCAGGAGCTACCGCGAACCAATTGGTGTTGTAGCGGCAATCTGTCCATTCAGTGAGTATTCCCCAACCAGAAACAGTTGATGGTTCTAGTCCGGACTAACAACAATCTGTCAAGACTTTCCAGCAATGATTCCTTTATGGTCCATTCCCATTGCAGTTATTACGGGCAACTGTATAATCGTGAAACCCTCGGAGAAAACGCCCACGGCAGCCATGATTCTCGCGGAATTGGCTGTTGATGCTGGCTTCCCTCCTGGCGTGATCAATATCCTCCACGGCAGCCGTGACAGTGTCGACTTTTTGATTGATCATCCCAGTATCAAGGCCGTCAGCTTTGTCGGCGGTAATCAGGCAGGCGAGTACATCCACGGCCGATGTAGCGCTCTGGGGAAGCGCGTGCAGGCCAACCTGGGAGCCAAGAACCATGCCGCGGTTCTTCCAGACTGTGACAAGAACCAGGCGCTCAACGCCATTGTCGGTGCCGCCTTTGGAGCTGCTGGGCAACGCTGCATGGCCCTGAGCACCCTTGTGCTGGTTGGCGAGAGTCGAGAGTGGATTCCAGAACTCGTCGCGAGGGCTCAAGCTCTCAAGGTCGACGGGGGCTTCGCATCAGAGGTTGATGTGGGACCAGTAATCACCTGGGAATCAATGAAGAGGGTAGAAGAGTTGATAGACAGCGCCAAGGACGAGGGCGCTCAGATAGTCCTCGATGGACGCGGTATCCGGCCTCAAAGGTTTCCCAAAGGGAATTTCGTAAGTTTCCTTGGTCGAGGTCAATCTTTGGCTTTCCGTTCATTGCATACTAGGTAAGTTACAATGCTAACGAGACACAGGTTGGGCCAACCATTATTTCGGGCGTAAAACCCCATATGCGTTGTTATAAGGAGGAAATATTTGGGCCTGTCCTCATCTGCCTGGAAGTTGATACCATCGACGAAGCAATTCAGCTTATCAACGGAAATGAATACGGTAACGGAGTTGCCGTGTTTACACAGAACGGAGGTCTTGCGACTTACTTCCAGGACAACATCGAAGCCGGGCAGGTTGGTATCAATGTTCCCATCCCGGTACCACTCCCGATGTTTTCTTTTACTGGCAATAAAAAGAGCATCTCTGGAGGAGGTATCAACTATTTCTACGGCAAGCCTGCACTGAACTTTTATACCCAATTAAAGACGGTAACGAGCATGTGGAAAGTAAGCCAGACCACTAGCACCCGGGCGAAGGTGGACATGCCGACAATGCGATGAACCAGGATAAAGATATACATGTTCTTCATAGATAAAACAGAGATAGAGATGTATCCTATCTGACAAAGTTACCGGCTCGAGAAATGCAAACCCTCACACCAACAATTGTCGATCAGCGAATTTGTGTGTGTCTGCAATTCTAAATTTGTAGTAAAGTATAGTCTTCTATATTGTATTGTACAACGCCTGTTCTCTAGTCCAACCTCTAAGTCTGCGCCCAAAGAATGCCCAGTGGTCAAATGCGATAAAAAGAAATGCATTATCCCCATTCTTGTAAATCAGTCTTTCCAATCTAATCCCTCACTTCCCAAATCACCAAGGTACAAATCTTGTCCAATTACCCTTCTTAGGAACCCTAGCAAGCCAATAGTTGAGAAATGTTGCAAACACATTGAATGCAATATATGCCCAAATCAGCCCAACATTGCGCCATCTCTCATCGTAGAATATGTTGACCGATGAGAGAAAGACATTCGTATCGGCCAAGGAGCAGAACTGACACATTGAGGTGGCATTCGCGTCGTAAAGGCTGCCTCCAGCCATTGCCATATAGTCAGCCATATACGCGCCACATGTTTGGCCTGCCGGAGGTTGAAACTGAAGCATTTCGAGCGATGAACACGTGACTTCATGATTCGCAACACCAGTGGCCAGCATAGCACCAATGATGTAGGTGAATGGCGATACTCGATACATGAAGTGCCAGAATCCAGGTAGAGCCGAGAGCGTCACAATCACTCTATTATCAACGTCAGTATGCCAAGAATAGTTCATCTCAGGAGGAGAGAGCTCACCCGCAGAATATAAGCGACAAGGCAAATAGAAGCAGTGCCAGGATTGCACCGACCTCGGCCGTGCCGACGCCAGCGACTACCATGGCGGTAAAGGTAGACTCAAACATCATGAAGGACCAGGTGATAAAAAACATCAAACCACCACGTTCGGTAACTGCATCAGTGGCAATGGCGTTTTTGTTCATACCAACAAGATAGTAGAATGGAAAGAAAACCAGGAGTGACGCCAGCGTATTCCAAGGCAATTCGACGAGAATGCTTGCAAGGATGAAGACCGGCCATGAGTAGACTCGTGACGCACGCTCGCGACCTTCGTATTGCTGACGCTGGAGAATGAAATGAGGCATTGTCTGATAGACGAGAAACGCAAAGATGACCAAAAGCATGAATATGGAGAACATCTGGTGTTGAAGTCCAGAGATCGACAGTTCAGCCTGGTAGAAAGAGACGCCAATGAAAAGACTCTGTGCTCGGTATTAGCTTGTATTCCACCTCCCTCTAATTGCAGAGCCATCGTGAAGATCTAATACATACCGTACCGCCGCACAATATCAGTTTGGCGTAGATGTAGGAAGGGCTGCGCCAGTACTGCTCAAAGACTCGTTGGGTGACCGACATCAACTGCTGGTGGAGAGGGGCTGCATAGTATGATGGTGTTTCTTGCTCGGCTGCGCTATCCCGATGATTGACTCCCTTGGCGTCGGTCAGGCGATCAAGCTCTTGTCGCACGGCTGCAGACTCGGGACTTTGCTTCCACACCTCCCTCCAGTCCTGGCTCGTATGCGCTCCTGGTGCCGCTCCGATTACCTTGAGCATCCATTCGGCTGGGTTTTCCGTGACACCACACGACTCAGCACCATTGCGCTCAAAATACGACGTGAGAGTCTTGCCATTTTCGCCAATATCTCCAAAGTAGACTGTTCGTCCACCCTTGGCTAAAAGGAGAAGACGATCAAATTGTTGAAAGAGCATAGCTGATGGCTGGTGAATCGTGCATAGAATGGGGACACCATTATCCGACAGTTTCCTAATGAGCATAGCGATTGACCAGGAAGTCTGACTATCCAGCCCAGATGTTGGTTCATCGAGAAACAAGAGGAGTTCTGGCTTGGCAGCCAGCTCCACGCCGATCGTCAGGCGCTTACGCTGCTCTACATTGAGTCCTGTATATGATTGTAAGCTTGGGAAGTACCAGTCATCATCAATAGCCTTCTTACCTTCACCAGGAACACCAATGACCGCATCGGCGTATTCTTCCATCTCGAGCAGGCCGATAACTTCCTCTACATATGCATGTTTTTCTGCCGTGGAGGTTGAGGCAGGCTGTCTCAAGACTGCACTAAATCTCAACGCTTCTCTCACCGTGGCCGTCTCCAAGTGCAGGTCTTGCTGTTGTACGTAGCCGGTTTGCCGCTGAAAAGCATTACTTCTTGGCATCCCATCCACAAGCATGTCACCGGTAACTATACCCATCGTAACACGGTCGGCCAGTACGTCGAGAAGAGTGGTTTTTCCAGCGCCAGTGGCACCCTAGTGGTGTTAGTTTCGGGACGCCATAAAAGAAATGCTCTTGAGAATGCACTTACCATCAAAGCCGTCAAGGTACCAGGTTTAACCCATCCGTCAACATTGTCTAGTATTCGTCTGGGTTGGCCCTTGATGGTGATATCGTAGCAGACCTTGCTCCAGTAAAAGACAGAACTATGTCCTCCCACTTGTGTGTGTCCTGGAGATGAACTGGTAGATTTGGGTTGTCTACCTTGGACTTGAATAACGCCGCTTTCTTCGTCTTGGTTTGGCGACTTCCGGCTACTATTTGCACGTGTTTTTTCGCTGCGGAAGAGAAGCACCTCTCCTTTTGAAGGGGTTAGAGAAAGATATTCCGCTGCCAGAATATAGGCCGCGGTGAAGAAAATTATGTAGGCAATCAAGATACCAAAGTTCCTGCGTGATGTTAGTCGACACACTTTGTGACCAGCTTGATTCCTCTTACCTCCAGATGTGTGACTTGTAGTATCCAAAGTTTGCATTCATGTAGAGGTCGCCATCCACATAATCCGCTCCAGGCATGGCACCTGCGACGGAACAAGCTCTTTGTGATGCAGTTGAGGTCATATACGATGGACCCATGGGAACAAATGAAGCGCATGGAAATTGCCGTCCAGAAAACTCATTGGCGACCAGACTTTCGAATGCATAAGCAATGGGGTCAAGATAGTTGATCCAACGAAGCCACCCTTGCATAGTCTGTGTAGGCAAAACAAAGCCAGTGTAGATGACCAAGCCAAGAATAAACATGGCAGCTGGGGTCAAGGCTTGCTGGACAGTACGAGACGTCTGTCCGATGGTACGTAGAATCATGGACATTGTCAGCGTACATGTGAAGCCAAACAGTAGATACACGAAGAACGCGCCAGCTTCACGGCGGAGGTTGGCCATAAAGTACAATGGCACGTTGAAGGCTATCGTCGAAAGCACCTTGCTAGGCAAATCACACACCACAGAAGAGATGGCTTCGGCAAAAGGATGGTAGGAGGCGTAACGGGCTTGCTTCTCAACAATTGGCCGCTGTGTATAAAGAGAAAAGATCTGCGGTGGTCAGTCGGGACTCAGCCTATGGTACGGCTTCAAGGGTACCCACCTCTAATGCACTGCTCAGGGCATTGAACAGAATGGCAAAATACAGTAAAATGCATCTGCTATTGAGACTGTCTGCAACAGGCTGCATATTATAGAAGATGCTTCCAAGGACCAGCGATACGATAAAGTTGGCGGCCACCGTTACGATGAAGAACAGCTTGTCGCCTTGGAGGCGCTGAAACCCTCTCGTGATACACAGCTGAATCTGCATCGGTATTGACAGCGTATAGGGAGACTTGTTTCGCCTGTCATAATTTTAGACTTCTTGCATTTCGACCTCATTGTGGATACTTACGTGAAGGAGGCTTGCTGAGACTTTCGTACTGCCTTTAGCTTTTCGGCATAGTCATTCTCAATGACGGAGTCATGCTCGAATGCATTGATGTCTCTAATCAGCTGAGCTCTGGCCTCGCTACGCTTCCAAGCACTTGCAAATTCGTCAGGAGTGCGCGGTACTCGCTTCTCGAAGCCAGGCTGTACTTTGCGCTCAGAGGGATTGGTGAGAGATGTGAGGAAATCAGCGGTAGTTTGTCGATCTGGGCAGACGTAACCCATGTCGGTGAAGTATTCCTTCGCATGGTCCTTTGATCCAAAGAAAATCTGGCGACCCTCGTACAGGACTGTGACTTTGTCGAATTCCTGGATTGCTTGTTAGTAATCGCGCAGACTGATGCTTCGACTTCGATAGGGGTCCCACATCGTAGGCCAACTGTGAGGCTTGGTAGATTGCCACAATGGCACTCGTGTTGGCAATTTGTGTAGAAAGTCTCAATGTGCGAGTGAACTCCAGCGCCGTAGCACTGTCGAGTCCTCGAGTACTATTGTCCCAGCACTGAACTGAGCTCTGGTTCAGGGTGACCTCTGCTATACTCACGCGCTTGCGCTCGCCACCGCTAACACCTCTGATCCAGTCGTTTCCGACCTTGGTGTTGATGGTGTGGGAAATACCAAAGACGGCCATGACTACATCCCGGAGGCATTGCGCATAGGTTTGGCGACTAATGCCAGGAAGACGATTACGAGGGGCTCTGGCCAAAGCTGCAAACTGCAGCGTCTGCCCAACCGTCAACTGTGGAAAGAGCACATCTGTTTCGGCCTGGTAAATGACTTCACCGCGAAAACGGCTATGCATGGATTCCCATGTGATGCCTTGTTTGGACTGTTAGTGACAGTACGAAGATTGTAGAAGCTTGAATCACTTACCTTGATAGTTGAGCTCGGATTTTTCGTCGAGATAGAGACCATGTACCTGGCCAGCAATGGTCTTTAGCAACGTCGAGACACCACTATTAGAGTTTCAGCATTGACAAGTTTCCACAAGTCTTTCGTGAGAGCTTAAACACACCTCCCTGGACGACCTAGGACCAGAAGCATTTCACCCGGCTTGACAAGGCCATCGAATTCTCTCAAAATCTGAATCTTTTGCCTCTTCTGGGCGATGAAATCTCTGATGGCAGCTGGAGCATACCAGAGGACATTCAACACATCCTTTTGAGAGTCCGTGCTGCTTCCAAATCCGTGAACACTGAGATCACGCCAAGATACACCAATGGGCTGCCGCGGATACTTCGAAGGGTCCTGCTCAAAAGCGTTGAACAAGGTGTGTGCCCATAGCTTGGCATCGAACTCGGGTGACGTTGGATCCAGAGCAGGTTCGGTCGGTTGGAAGGGGTTGGTAACGCTTGCTTGTGCCGTCCGCGTGCTCGCATTTGTTAGGCGTCGGGCCAATGCCGCAACATTCTCCCCATTGACGCCGGTGAACTGTGGATGGTGGGCTGCCGCTGAAGCGCGGTCGCTTACTGAGGCAGAATCGGATTCAAGCATGGGATCAGACCCAGTTCCGGCTTCTTCGGGGTTCTTTTCAGACATGGTGCGCTTCTTTCAACCTTTGGAGAAGGCGGTTTGACTCGACAGGAGACAGATAGGCCGGAGCAGGCCAGAGCCAACATACTTATATCCATTGTGCTAGCTTTGGGATGGGTATTGTTGATTCGATTAAGGAGATCGGGTTAATCGGGGATCCACACAGTCATCCGCAAATACGGACAAGAACAACATCATTACTCAACGGCCAGGTCGTACTTTCACAGCCTGGCTGGTGTTTACGCCCCAGAGCTTGTCCACATGTTTCGGTGCTTGATTTCCGGCGGTTGCCCCTAAGAGTGTGAGATTTTCGGAGCCGAGATGCCGTGAGCGGTTTAGCGTCAGCCGTCATCCAATGCGCGTCCCCGGCGGCTACCTCTCGCCTCCACTGGCCTCGAGTATTTTATCTTCTTCTTGAACCCATCATACGGAGCCGAAATTCCCAGAAAATTCAAACTAGTTTTTGGATAGCATCTGATTGCATTACAAAGGGTCTTGGTAAACATGTCAAGTGGCGCAGGTCGTCGGATTCTCAAGAGCTGCAATGCCTGTAAAGCCAGGAAAGTCAAATGCTCAGGTATGTCCTTTGGCGCTGGAGCCACAGCAGGGTTGTCCACTAAAATATGCCACTACAACAGGTTCTCCAGGTCCATGTGAAAGCTGCGCTGTAAGTGCTCTTCCGCCCCGATTTGGCTGAGCTGCAATCGAGGTACTGACATGTCTAAACGCAGCGCCGCAAAACCGACTGTCATTTCAGCGCCGCAAAATTGCCCCGGCGGCCTAACAGTGAGTCGGCTCCATTCAAGAGCTGTCAATGAAGACAAGGTCCAAAGTAGCGATTGCTTATTTGAATTTACTAGCAAATGTCGACTTAATGTCGGAGCCTGCACCTGAGCTGCAGCCCGAACAGTCTACCAAAGCCGACCTCAGAGTATGTTTGGTCTCGGCACTCTTTTCTGTCATGGTGGTGCTAAATACCGAGTATAGACAGCGGAGCCAGTACCAGATTTATATGTGGATCGCCTCCTTGCGAATGCTCGCCGGCCGGATCTGCTCAATCATGATCGTCGTTTCACTGTCAAGGTATTTTTAGTCTATTGGGCATTTAATGCAGAAGCATCGACTAACTACCAGCAGAGAAATGGTCTATTTCGTGAGTCGTCTCTTGCATTGGCCCGAGTGCAGCCAAAGAGAAGGTTTTGACCCATGTTACAGTCGGAAATTTCAGCTTGACATTCTTCTCGGATGCGAGACTTGAACAATTATCAAAACGCCTTGGAAATGACAAGGTCAAACAATTATGTTCCCGGATCTCGTCGGTCATTCGTCATCGTGTGCAGCAACATGAAGAATTGTCTTCCAACTCCTTGAGGCTCACGGCCGGGTCCGTATTCGAAGCATCCACAAGCCTCCCAGAGGCTAAAAGTTGGATTCAATGTAAGCGACTACGCCATTCTTTCAGCAAAAAGCTATGTTGACGATGTGCAGCGTACTTTGACCGCGTCCACCCTTTCTACCCCTTTTTGGATCGAAGGGCCTTTGAATCACTCGCCTTCAGCTCGAATCTGCCACAATCTCTCGTACAGGACAAGGCATGGTCAGCCCTGTACCATTCGGTGCTTGCCCTTGGATGCCAAGCCATGGGCGGTGGCAGCTTCGAAGCAGGTAAAGGCGAAGCCTGGCGCCTGTTTTCCGTATCTCTCGGCTTGTTTCCGGACCTCATTACCTTGCCCGATTCCCTGACTGTCCTGCAAGCAATGGCTGCCATGACCATCTACTCGCTGGGGATATCTTGCATCGCCATTGAACATGTCATCATATCCGAAGCCGCCAGGAGAGCGCAGAATCTGGGCAGCAGCAAATTGACAGGCGACGAGGCAATCAATTACCACAAAGTCTTTTGGGTCATGTACTCTACGGAAAAGATTTCGAGTTTTCATTTTGGCCGAAACTCTGTAAGTCGAAAACAGCCAGCACCCAACATTTTATGTTTGCAAGCCAAAACAGATCTTCTCACACACAACACCAGGTTTTTAATGATCACGATATTGTGTGTCCAATCCCATCAGTGCCAGAGGCTGTAACTGCAGGATTTGACTGGTTTCTAGCTTGTGCTAGATATGCGAGGTTGCTCTCGCGGGCCATGTCGAACCTGTTCTCGGTTAGTGTACTGGGAAATCCGAAAACATATTACCTGGCTACAATTGAACAGCTCACTCGGGAGCTAGAGACGTGGCGCCTTTCTCTGCCCCCGGATATTCGACCTGGAGAAAGGTTTTGGCAGAACGCCTCCAAGGGAAACCTTTTAGTGGCGCCTGCCATCTGGGTTGCTTGCTTGTACAACAGTTTTCGACTGAGTCTAAATAGGGCAACATTGTACTTGGCTGCAGATGCTCCGGAAGTAGTGAGCAAGGCGCAACAGGCTGAGAGTACAAAGGCCCTGATGGAAACTTCCCGTTCGACCTTGGAGTTGACGACTTTCATCGATGTCGAACCATATACCCCTCTTTGGTAAGCTCGGATTTTCCTCACCTTGCAAATTTCTTTTTTCCCTGTGGCCTGACGTCTCTCTTAGGATTATCGGTGGTATTCCCCTCACTGCGCATTTCACACTCTTCGACCTCGTGATCAACAACTCGAGTCACCCAGGCACTGCAGGAAATCTAGCCCTGCTCAATATTGCCGGAGGCCACTTTAGCAGAATCGAGTATGCGAGCGATGGGCACCTCCCGGGATCTGTGATAGCAGAGTTCACCCACATTGCACGAGAATATGTCAACTCAACGACCCAGAGTCAGATCAGCACCGAGCCTTTACGTGCAGCTCGAGCGCCTGGCCCTTCAACGACCGACCCGACGACTATCAACAGTGCCGATGCAAAAATGATCAATTCTGATCTCGTAACCAATCCGCCCACGTTGAGTGTAGACCAGGCTTTGGCTGTATGTGACATTACTTTTTTCCCCCTTCCTTCCCTCTTACTAGCGATGCATCATGGCCAATCGACTTACCGATTCTTAGTCAACTACGCAAGCAGACCCGGTTGCCATGTCTTTTGGTGACATGCTTTACTTCCCCATTGGAGAGGAATTCATCGACTCTAGTGAGAACAACCTAATGGGTATTGATATCATGGATCTCTTCAATACGCATATTCCTGGAATTGATCCAATGTTCTTTGGCAATTAGATGGATACGGATGGCACTGATGAAGGTGCTACTACAGAAACGCTCCTGCTTGTATAAATAGACTCATCGGCGCATGTGGCTATACTCGTGACTAGATTCAACGTGTCCTTGGAGTCGGCTCAGGAGCAAGCCTGGATATCGAGCCCTGCTACAATCTCGAATCAATCCTCTTGTATTTGAACTTGTGACCACGAGGCTCCAGTCTCTCATGGTCCCGTGTCTTGTAGACTCTGCTCAGCATTGTCTGACGCTGCCGCCGTTGCTGATCTCGAACCGCGCAAAGAGTCGCACAGCCTGCCTTTGTGGAAGAATTCCTTGGAAAAGAATTTTCTCTCTGCCTTGGCGGAAAACCCTCCGAAGTGAAACGTTGGTGCATGTTTCACTTCAAGACGAATTCAGAGTCATATTCCGCGTGTCTCATCTTTCTGTCTGTCATGTGTTTATAAGATAAAAATCCAACCACCAGGATTTGGATAATGTTCCAAACCTTAATAATCTCCCATCATTTCCCAGGCAGGCAAAAGATTATCGCCTTCCACATGTCTATTGAACTAAAAATTTAGAATGATAAAAGTCTACACGGGTTTATACAGAATATTTTATAAACTGCCAGCCACCACGATGCACTCATTCATATGAACAGCCTGATGCTATATCCACCTCGGCTTGACGCAATGTTTTGGGGCGGAAGACCCTCTTTGCCGAGACGGCAGAAGCCGGAAGTATCGGATCGTGGCCGTTTTTTGGTGGCGGCCTAGCTGAGCGCGGCACAGAATTACGGCAACGCCCGTGCCCACATGTCTGCGGGGTCCTTTTCTTTCTTTTTCTTTTTTTTTTTCTTTTCTTTTTCCTTTCTTTAAGACCAACCAATGGGGTTGCCATTCATCTCTATTGCACATCCTCTGCGGAGCAAAAACACCTGTTGGTAGTTGATAGTTGGACCACCACTTGTGTGACGATCATCTTTTGGGAAGGCCCCAGTGATTTGCGGAATAAGTGAATTTAGCCTGGCATATTCAGTTCTGTTGGTAGCGATCCAGCAAGGAGGTAGATGCGTGAGTCGACTCATCATAGGCTTTCATTCCCCATGGGGATGACTGAAGTGTACATGCAATTCCCGTACCAAATTTGCAACGGTTTGTGCCGACAAAATTGTTTTTTTATATTCCTCTCCGTATTGTGGCTATAGTGAGCGTTCAAGTTCAACCCGTTACTGCTAGCTCAAAGGCTGCTTGGAACAAAGAAGGTGTAATAACCAATCAATACCCAAAACTTTCCAACCCGGGAACCCTGCCTGCTTTCCTTTCTTCTTCCAAGAAATCAAGAAAAGACCTCCAACTTCCTCCTCCCAAAAAGTGAACTTGCCGTCTGTGGCATGCCAATCTGAAAATTGGCTACACGTACGGAGTCTCAAGGTTTCTCGTTTTTTGAATTATAAGACCTTTAGACACCAGCAATGAGCTGTCTGGTAATGGTGACGAGACCAGCAAAGGCGGCTTGAAGACCGGTGACGGTGAGCGAGGCCGTGGCAGATGCGGTGGCAATAGCCTGGACCAGGACGGCGAGGGGAGCCAGGAAGGGAACGAGAATGGTGCGGAGGGCGGCGATCTCACTCGAGGCAGCGGCGTTGACTGCGGCTCCCAGGGTGGAGGTGACGGTTAGGCTGGCGCGGATCGCGGTGACCAGGGCCACGATCTGCTGGATAGCCGCAGTCAACTGGTTAATCTCCTGTTGAGTCAGACCGACCAGCAGAGCGGCGATGCCGCCGGCGCCGCCGCCTGTGGCGTCGCTGATGGCGGCCGTGGCATCAGTAATGGCCTGGATGATGGCCTGGTAGTTGCTGCGAAGAATAGCAGTCGCGCTGACAATGGCCTGAACGCTGTTGGCGTTTTGGATAGCAACAGCGGCCGAGTCTGGACATGAAATGTTAGGATACTGATGTTATCTGGACAATGAAAACCATGTGTTTGGGAACTCATGTTTATACTTACTGGCAGCAGCCAGATCAGTGGTGACGGTTGCGTTCAGGTTGTTGAGAATGCCCACAATTGTCTCGGTGACGGTAGCTCTCTTCTCAAGGTGCTCGACAGCGATTACACTGTCTTCCAAGGGAGCAGGGCTGGGCAGAGCCATGGCCAAAGTGGCCCAACCGAGAACCTGAAGGAACTTCATATTGAAATAGTTTTAAGGGAAGAAGTTTGAGATGGGAAAATCTGGCTAGAGAAGCTGGAAAGGGCCGAGTAGTCTGAGTCTGGGATTGATGCTTGCTGGATAACAGAAACGGAATCCATGAGATGAGACGCTCATATATATACTCGAAATTTGAGGCCAGTGAGGCTGGGTGGTCACCCATTCGACGAACATGGGAAACTCCAAAGTTCCATATTCGCCTTCCAGGGCAATAGTTGTCGATCTCTTGCCCTGGTGGATGCATCATGCATGCGCCAGCGGCGAGGTTCGCGTTCAAGCCCGCAGCCAACAACCACATCATGTCAAGCCGTCTAGTTTTTCATGTATATGCAGTCATACTTGTTTAGACTTCAAACACTTTCTGTTGATTCCTACTCGTGTGGACTCTAATCCATTGGTCTATAGTCCTGTGCGTTTTACTTTAGCCTTTGTCATATGTTTATTGCCTCCAGCCCGTGAGGCATCAATAGCATACGGCCGTGGCTACTAGCCTGCATGATGGATGTATGTTGTTTCTCGTGACGCGGGATCAACAAAGTCTTTAATGGAGCAACATTAGTAACTCCTGGTCTTTGTGGGATTGGTCAAGCGGAAGTACCAAATGGTCATATTCTATGCCTTGAAGTTGATATCAATAGCAGTATACAGGCTCACTTGTCAAGTATTGAGACATGAAGCATCAGGTGAGCGTACAATTCAAATCCTTGGATTATTGTCAGCATGGTCGTGTAACCGATTACAAGTCAGTGAATTTGACGGTGGCGCATACTGAGCCCTAAACAGTAAACCGTCATGCTAAACATCGCCGATTGTCAACCGGTCTATATGTCAAATGTGATGACAGACGCCTCGTCTCTTCAAGATTTTATGATCTGACCAGTAGTGGAGCTTCAAAATCTGATTCTTACATTGCTTTTCTACCAAAGGGTGGGTCACCGACAGAGACGGTTTCACCAACCTTGCCTTGGACCACGGCAGCTAGGCCTCGGGATGTCTTACTCACCCTCTTTGTCCGCAATTACGTGACTCGCTCGCGTTGCCGGATCATCGCAAATCCGGCATATATCCATATTAAACAACACGTTGCCAGCCGGGCCTTTGATCGATTCTACAGCAAAATTTTAGCAAAACTTTAGCAAAATGGCATTAAACAAAGTCGACGAGAGGTTATAGTATCATTTCAGCCGTCTATCACGACTGAAGAAGGACAAGTTGACCCTTGTCTCAGACGGTATAGGAGCTGGCTTCTAGACCATGACTAGACTCACCACGTGGCGGCTGACATTCTTGGTATGGATCCAAGGCCATGGTAGGTTATTAATTGTTTGTAATGCTACCAAATTACTGGAATCTATGTTCAGGCCTAGATTCAATATCTTAGATCCGAATCGATTGATTTACTTTGCTCCTTCACCATCTGCCGAAAGAGCGATATGTCAGTGGCTCGCATTGGTTGGATGTCGCTCCAGCCTCAATTCTATCACTTCGCATCCCATTGGACAGAGCTGTGAGACATGCATCCACGGCTCCAGGCGCAACGACATTGCAGCAAAGCACTTTTGTTCCCTTTCTCGTTGGCCGCATTCAACACTATGCAAGTTCCTGCATACGGGGAGTCTGTCCGCTTCGTGTACTAGGACTACTCTTACATGACCAATGTACATAATGTATGTCGGTGCGGACTGAGCCGCGCACTCCACGCGCCAAGGCCTTCGGTTTGAAGCCTGGAAACAGCCATCCATGCCTTGTCATACCCACCTAAGCCGTATCGGTCGTAAAGGGGATGTTCTCAGTCAAAGAGTCAACCCTTCCGAGCAGATATTCCAATTGCCGATATGAGCCTGAGGGGTTGTATCGTGGGACCTGGTGGCCAGCACCAAAGACCTCGACGAAAGTGAGCCCGCGTTCCGTGATCACCTTTCCAGAATTCCCCTTTGGCGCCGTTGCAGCAATGGCACGGTTGGAGTGCGTCGGCACAAAGAAGTCCTCAGACGGCGGAGTCGAGAAACCCGTTTCTCCACCCCATTCCATACTTTGAAGTGCCAACAAAGTCCCATTCACAGTAACCTGCATATCTAAGGCGCCATGGACAATAACCGTCCGCTGACTCCGCTCGATCAGATCACCTAGCTTGCCTTTGACAGGCTGTTTGGCACTAATCGTTGTCCCATTGACTGAGACTCCCTTTTGGTTGCAAAGCACCCAGAATTTGGCAAGGGGCGCATGTAGCGCAAGTTTGACGTCTTCTCGGTTCAGGTATGGCTGTTTGAAATCGTAGGCACGCTTGTCGATCACGTCATACTCCTCCTCCTCATCATCATCTGAGAAGGTTGGTACAGTATACGTTGGGTATCCAAGAGCGCTTGCCAGTTTTGGACAGTAGTTTGAGATGTGAGTTTCGTCAAAGCAGGGGTTTATGCTGGTGAGGGCGGTGAGGACGTCTGCGGTGATATCTTCACATGCTCTCTCGACGCCATCGTAGTCGTATGTCTCGATCGATGGCAGATCAGTACTCGCGTTGGCGTTGCCAGGATACACAAGGTGGGTACTTCGGTATTCATCAATTCCACAGGCGTCCGAGGCGTAGCGAATCTGGTCCAAGAACGTATCATTGAGGTGAAGGAATTCGTTCTGCTTGTCAACAAATTGGACTACATCAAAGTCCTGCTGTATTTGATGGTCGGCGATTAGGGTATCAATGAACATGGATCCTTGCAGATTGTAGTAGGTCGTATCATTGGCATCCAGCATAGCTGTCCCAATGTATGATAGGTATCGCCCAGCATAACTCTGGCCAGAAAGATAAACATCTGCACCTTGGAGTGAGAACGTGTCGATGAAATTCTTCCAGAAGCCGAGGAATTGGTCGGCAACGTCGTTTTGGTTTTCGACCGTCGGCGTGCCTGTAGAGTATCCGGTGTTGACCGGCTGGTCGATCCACATGACGTTTGTCAACTTTGACCAGGCCCATGGGTTGGAGACAGGCTCTGTAGGAGAAATTCCAATTAGCTGGGGATTGACTTGAGGATTTGGGCATGAGTTCTCAACATACCTAAGGTGCCATCTTGCCAGAGGAAGGGTCCATTCTCGTAGAACATTCCAATCTGACTCGAGCAGCCTGGACAATCATCAGTGAACGAGTTCAATCGACACAGAGGTAATGTGACCCACCTGGACCCCCATTGAAAAAGACAATAACTTCTTTGGATGCCTCGGGGTTTGTTGAAGGAACGAACCAGAACCACAGCTTGTTTTCGTCGTTGGGGTCAGAGGAAATGGGAAGCAATCCAGCGTATGACTCGCCAATGTCGAATGAGAATTCTGGTAAAGTTGCTCCGTCGACTGCGAACTCTGTTTATCGTGTCAATCATAGGCCATCTTTATTTCATTAACAAAGTCTCTCACTCTGGGTATTGTTGTTTAGGAAGAGAGGAGGAGTCGCCGCCGATCCACTCCAGGTCGTGTTGTCGCTGGCAGAGACAACAGCTGCTGCCGCAGCTGCCACCAGCACTGCAGCCTTCTGAAGAAGTCGTGATCGTATCATTGTTAGGGCTTGTTGTCTTGACTCATTAAAATGTCACTGAAGCCACAGGATTTGAAAGACACTAAGTACCGGTTCACTTGCATTCTAATACAAACACTTGCTATCCGATGGTCAAATAATTGCCTCGAGTGTCTTTTTTCTTCCTGCTTCAATTCATATCTCACTTCGGCGGCATCGCAAATCGTCTTTCCTGATGAGGAGCCAAGCTCCTAGAAGATCGAAATTAAGATACCATTTCATGGCCATTGTAATCTTCAACTTTTTGGTGTCCTTCCTGATTGGGCGTTTCACCCACGGAGGCTTTGGTGGGGTTCGCGGTTGGACAGCTAAGCTTCGTCCTATAATTGATACCCCAGATCTTCGGCACTTGGCTAGGCCAAGCCTTGGGAAAGCCAAGTCATCTATAGTCGACCGTTCTAGATGGACACAGAGCAGCGATTGATGTAGGTTCTGTGATAGCAGTGATACAGTTGACGTCGCTTTCTTGACTTTGCAGGTCCACGCGTACCTGCATGCAAATAGCATCAGATCGCCACAGGATGAGCAGTTTCCTTTTTCGACGGATTGGTTGGACGCCTACTATATGTCCATCTAACCGTGGCAATTTGGGGTAAACCAGTACAATCCTGTCCCCCGGATCTACCCCGGATCCACCCGTCGCGGTCAGCAATCTTGAAAGGTGCAGTCGCTGCTTATCAATCTGGAGTTTAGAACAGGGCTCTGCAATATGTCCACTGCGTTGATAAGAGCCTATTGACTCAATCCCCAGGCCGATGCTTTGACAAAGACCCCACCCTCGGACGGCTTTTAGCGCCCTGACGCCTGACAAAAGCCTTATTGTCAGTTAGTAGGTGTGCTACAGCCTGCAGCACACGAAAAGTGCCCAACACGAGGGGGTAATTATGCCGTAGCAAAAAAGCTGTACGTGGCGGAAGACTGATGTATTGGAAAGAAAATATAGGTGTGCCTCTACTTTGTAGGGGGAACACTACACAATAAGAAGGGGGGCTTTCCGCCCACGGAAGGCGTTGAGCTACCTTAGTAATAAGCATACGAAAAAAGCCCCACAGTATTAGCGTAAATAGGTAGGTACGTACTACCCAGGAATCTGATAGCCAGGAGCACGTAAAATACATAGCCTGCACCTACATTAATCATAATGTGTAGGTACCTAACTAGGAGGCAAGGAATGTAAATTGGCACATCACATAATTGACACCCATATCAAACCAGTCTACACTCCAATAGGAGACATCATCTTGATTAGCAATATGTGATAATGGCGCGTTCGACATGCAGACGGGCGCAGCCCCGGCCACTCATCACCAAGATCGAGGTTACATTGGCATCGCTACGTGCCATCATCAACCAATAGTGCACTTGTTCGTGAACCGCGTTCAGCGACTGGCTGAAGTACTGATCACGCTATTTCTTGCCCTGCAGATTGCGCCTCGACAATTTCCGACAGACCTACATTGTTCCCATGACCATTTTTCCTTCGGAACTTTTCGACATTGGAAGTGTCAAAGGAAGGGATAAGCAGAGCACTTCTCAACACATATTCCAACAAGAAACCGAAGGAAATTATCCTTTTTTTTTTCGTTATCATAGCTCGATTTTACCTCTAGACGGCACACTGCCGAGATTGGAGTTTAAGCAAGTGCATATCTGGCTTGATCTCCCGATCGCGTGAGCGTATGACAATGGTGTGCCTGCCTGAACAAGCACTACTTTTCTACGTCCTTCGTTAGGGACTATGCCGCATGTCAGTGAATTCACGATTGGATGGATCTGCGCCCTCTCTCAGGAACTTGTTGCTGCTCAAGAATTTCTTGACGAAGAATATGAATCACGAGAGGTTGGAGATTGTCCTTCGGACAACAATTCCTACTCTTTTGGGAGCATCAATGGTCATAAGATCGTCATAGCAGTGCTGCCACAAAATCAGTATGGCCATGTCAACGCTGCAGTTGTCGCTAGAGACATGTCACGGAGCTTCAGTAACCTGAGATTCGGCTTGATGGTAGGGGTTGGAGGTGGTGCGCCAAGTGCGGCCAACCAAATACGACTCGGTGATGTCGTAGTGAGCTCCATCCAATCTACGCACGGAGCTGTTTTCCAGTACGATTTTGGCAAGACGATTCAAGAAAAAAAGTTCACCCCCACCGGATATCTTAATCAACCACCACAAGTTCTACAGATTGCAGTGGCTAGCCTCTGCGCGAAGCACACGAGACATGGCAATGACATTCATGAAGCTGTCCAGAACGTCATTGCAAGAAACAAGAGACTGCAGAAAAATTACAGCCGCCCAGACGTGGATACAGACAGGCTCTTCTTATCAGGTTTCGTTCACACAGCAGATGGAACCTGCTGTTCTGTTGCAACCAGCCAACGCCATCCACGTTTGGTACCGCGCGACGCACGGAGTCTACGTGAAGATGATGTGGTTATTCACTACGGTCTCATCGCCTCTGCGAATCAGGTTCTCAAAGATGCCGTGATACGAGATCGTCTAGCCACTGAGAAGAATGTATTGTGCTTCGAAATGGAGGCTGCTGGACTTATGAATCACTTCCCATGCCTTGTAATTCGTGGCATCTGCGATTACTCTGATACTCATAAGAATAAAGCTTGGCAAGGTTATGCGGCTATGACAGCCGCTGCATACGCGAAAAACCTGCTTGAGCTTATGGTGCCACAGCAGGTTGTCACGGAGAAGAAGTTGGGAGATGTTCTCGAAGAAAGTCTACAAAGCTGTCAGTCACTCGATGAAGTAGAGTAGGAACCAGTATTAATGATTAAGTAGTGAGCCATGGTCTAGAGGACATGAATACTAGACAAAAAGCCGAAGAACGAGCGAAACAGTTCCGCCAACTGATGAAATGGCTGGCACCACCCGATCCGCTATACGACTTTGATAAAGCACGCAAATTACGCCGAGGAAGTACAGGAACGTGGTTATTGGAAGATCGTATGTTTCAATCCTGGAAGGAGAAAGCAAATTCCTTTCTGTGGATCAACGGCAAAGTTGGTTCCGGCAAAACTATCCTGAGTTCTACTGTGATCGCTGAACTGAGATCACAAGAGTCTCATTCGCCCAGGGTTCTCTTCTACTTCTTCACATTCTCAGACGTGGCAAAACAATCTTTGGAGAGTGCGATTAAATCACTTATTTTTCAAGCATATGTTCAGATTGCTCAAACTCGAGAACCACTCGATTTGCTCTACAGGCGACAAATGGATGGGGCACAAGCAGCAACTCTTGAGAGGCTTTGCGAAACTTTCAGCAATATGATTCAACTTGCTGGCGAAGTATGGATCGTACTTGATGCCCTCGATGAGAGTACAACACTAGATGATCACCAAGGACAAGGAATACTTCCATGGATAAAGAAACTTCATGAAGCGAGCCTCAACACCCATGTCCTTGTCACAAGCCGCCCAGAACCAAACATAAGGGCAAGCTTTTCAGAGCTTGATCCGGAGGGGCACACTATATATCTTGACGATTCTCGAGTATCTTCCGACATAGACGACTATATCGATTCAACGATCAACGATCCTGGCTCTTTCAGGAAATGGGATCATGGTCCGAATACCTCAAGTACCAGTGTTAAAGCCTGTATGAAAGATGAGTTGAAGAAGAAAGCAGGTGGAATGTGAGTCATATGGCAGCACTTTAGTATTCAATACTAATAATATGCAGGTTTAGATGGGTCTCATGTCAATTTGAAACACTGTCCATTTGCAGCGACCACGAGGAGGTTCGTCGCACACTCGAAGACCTTCCAGGTAACTTGCATGACACATACTCTCGTATCTTAAAAAGAATTGATGATCAGTCGCGCTTGCGCCCGCGCTTCAAGAGCAAAGCGATCAGACTATTGCAATTCTTGATATTCTCGGAACGTCCACTTCTGATCGAAGAAGCTGTTGACGTACTGGCCACCGAAGTAGGAACCTCTGGTGGTTTCAATCCAGATGATCGAATGAAGGACCAAGAACAGATACTGGAATACTGCTCGGGGCTAGTAGTAAAGGTCCCCCAGGTTGATCCCAGCTTGTGGCTTAGCGAGGATATTCGAACAGACCATTTCATGCTACAACTTGCCCATGTTTCGGTAAAAGAATACCTAACATCTCAACAAATGGACAATCAGTTCCTTCAAAACTTCACCCCAGGAGTTTCCCAGAACTCTATAGCAGAGACATGTCTTTCTTATCTGCTGGCATATAACCACAAACGGAGTCTGGAAATCGGCCAACACTCAGTCTCATTCATGGAACGCTCATTTCCATTCGCGGAGTACTGTAGAAGCCATTGGGCAAACCATCAAGCGAAAGCTGAAATGGAATCGGATGACGTACCGAGTTGCATTCTTGCGGCCAACTTTCTCTCTGGCCAAACATTATTTGAACTGAGTCAATCTGATTTTTGGTGGAAACTAGATATTACAGCGAGAGCGCTGTTATTCGCATCCGAAAAGGGCCTCTTCCACACCATTGGGGAACTTTTACGGAGACCTTACTTTTCAGACCCAGCTGCATTGAGGTTCTTGTCTGACGATGCGCTCTGTAAAGCAGCAGATCATGGTCATACCAAAACAGTATCAGTCCTGCTCCAAAAGGTCAATGAGATGAATGCCCCGGCCATCAATCTCAATGATTCCCTGGTGAAAGCCTCGAAAAGAAATCATTGGGGCGTGACAAGCACTTTGATTGCCTACTCTGCCGGAGACACCAGAATCAGCAATGCCCTTGCTAATGCTCTGGTTGCAGTGTCCGGAGACGGTTACGTAGAATTTGCGCAACGTTTACTCCAGCACGGAGCTAAGCCGACTGAAAGAGCTCTTACTGCTGCTTCGTCTTCCGGTCACATTCAAATTGTACAGTTGTTACTTAAGCACGGAGCTAACGTACCAAGCGAAGCAATTACTGCTGCTTCGCGTTCCGGTTATATCGATATTATAAGGCTTCTACTCGAA